TTTTTGATTTTTGAAAATTTATAGAAAAAAATTTAAAAAAAATTCTCTTAGTTTGTTTAGGGGTGGGACCAAAAAAATGAATAACTTCAAGGGGTTTTAAATTTCTTGCACAAATATGCACAGGGGTTATTCCATAAGGCATTCCTTCCCCAGAATTTAGTAAAAAAGGCCCCTTCCCAATGTTTTTTAAAGGGTGTGATTTAATACCCAACAAAATGATTTGAAAGCCCATTTTAAAGGGGAAATTGATTAAATTATTATTTTTTTTTCAAGCAAAAAAACCGAGAGGGGGAAAGAGACATCGAATGTCGAGCCCATATTCTATTTTTAGAAAAAAATCTCCAAAAAGGAAAAAATTTCAAATGTACTTTTAGACAAATACTTTTCCAAAGGGGGTAACCTTAGAAGGGAAAAACTTAAAAAATGAAATTTTCCCTAGAACATACAGCCCCAAATGAGGGTAAAATGTTTGTGAAAATTTAAATTTAAATACAACAAAAAAATTCCGTATTGGCTTTTTGTAACATCTTTTTTTAAATAAAATTTTAAAGTTAATTCTAATTTACGGGTTTGAAAAATGAAATAATCAGATAAAAGTCCCTGGAAATTTTAAAATAAATTGTTGGAAAGATATTTAATTTCCAAACTGAAATAATATGCGAGAAACAATTAAATCTTTTCATAACTTTTAAAATTAGTTTAACCCCCACTTTAAATGTTTTCCTATCCCCATTCATACAGTTTTTTTTTAAAATTTTTTTCATCAGAAAAAGGGAAAAGAAAAAATATTTTTCCCCACCCACAAATGCATGCCTAGTTTTGCGTATTTTTTTCCCCAAAAATTTCCCCAAGTGTTTTAAGAAAAGTACTTTATGTCGGGGGTTGTTTGTTGTTTGGGTTTATTTTTTATCAATGTAAATTTGAAAAAAAAAAAAATCCCCAGTTTCAAAAACAAAATGCTTTTTTATGTTTTAAATTGGGTTTTGGGAATTTTAGGAAAAAATAGTTTTTTTGTAAATTGGGGGGGAAAATTTTGGGAAACCCAAGAGGAGGGAAAAAAAACGTTCTTTCATTTAAAAATTTGGGAAAGATATGTTAAATAGGGCAAATTTAATAAAAATTTAAATAAGGTAAAAACATTAAATTTGAATTTTTTTACATTTTTGGTCGGCTCTACAAAAGTAGTGGCAAATGGGGATCCCCTTTTTTCCGCCTTCGTCCGTCCGTCACAAAAATTTTTCAGGACTTATTTTTTTCCAAAAAATGCTGGTGAAAAATTTCACCCAAAAAACTTTAAAAGAAATGACCGACAAGGTTTTCCCAAATTTTTTGGCTTTTTTAAATTTTTTTAATATATTTTTAGAGTTACCCCCTTTTAATTTTTTTTAATTTTTAAAAGTATGCCCGGGGACTACCTTTTTATGCCAAAAATGCCTTTTCCCAAAAAAAGTTTTTTACGGACTGATCGCGGGTTTCAAGAAAATTGCGCAAAATTTCGCAGGGTTTTTCCGGGGTAAATTTTTTTTTTTGGGCCAGTTATGACCCTTGAAAAAAAAAATGGTTTTTGTGTAGCTGCCAGCCACACAAAAAAATTGTCGGGAAACCCTTCTCAAAAAAACTACTGGTGCAATTTCTTTCCAAACTTTACTGAAATAAACCCAGTACCAAGTCTCTGTTTTTTTCAAATACCTGTTTTTTCGGGTTTAAATGTTTTTAACCCCCAGAGTAATGGGAAATTTTAATTATTTTTATTTTTCAAAGTTTTTCCAGACTACCCAAGGGTTTAAAACCACTTATGCAATTTCAATTAAACTTTACGGGGAATTGTTTGGAAATTTTCCAAATACTTGGCGAAATTAATTTTTGGTTTTTCACTGAATGGTTTTGGCCCCTTTAAAATAAAAAGATGATTTTGAGTTGTCAGCTTTACAGAAGCTTGTTTGGACTACCCCCTAAAAAATACAATGTTTTGTTGGGGGTTCTAAATCAACATTTTTTGGGACCCCAATTTGTTTTTGGGGCCAAATTATGGCCCTCAAATAAAAAAAACGCGTTTTGCCTTTTTTAATGATTTTTAAGTGTGTCTTCTGCCAACGGGCACGGGAAACCCATCCCAATTGGCTATCGGGAGGGGGGACACATGTGCTCACTGATCCCCCTTTGAAATACATAACGGGGGGTTTTTTAAACCCGGGGAAAAGGGAAAATGTCAAAGTTTAATTTAAAAAACCCTATACTAAAGAAAGGTTAATTGCATATCGTATTTTTTGGCTAATTTTTAAAAATTTGTTTAAAAAAGCAAAAAAATAAGCGGGGGAAAAACAAAACCCAAAAACCCGGGTTACTTTTTAAAGGGGTTTAACATAAAAAGTTATAAAAGTTAAAAAAAGTTAAAATTATAACAAAAATGCCTCCTCTGGGGTTTTTTGTGATTTTTTTTAAAATCGATCCTTTTACTTGACATTAACATATTTTCGGTCCCTTTTACAAAAGAAATATAAATTTGCATACAATAAATTTCGGGGGCTTCTTTTCTTAATTTTTTAAAAACGAAAAGGGTCAACATGAAAGTTATAAAGAGTTAAAAAAAAATTAAAAAAATAATAAAACGGGAGTAAAAATTTTAAATTCAGAGCCCAAATTTGGGTTTGGGTTTGGGGTTATAAATCAATACTGAGCCTAAGGGTTTTATAATTTTGTAACATTTTCTTTAACACCCTTAGAAATTTTAAAAAAAAATCAGATAAAAAAAATAAAAAAATAAAAAAAAAGATAAATAAAAAAAAAATTTTTCTTTAAAAAAAAAATAAAAAAATAAATAAATAAATAAAAAAAAAGAAATCCCAAACCCTTTTTTTCCCCCGATTTAAAATTTTGGTTTGTTTAAAAATCTTACAAAAAAATTAATGTGATCCCCAGAGGAAAAAAAAAACCGTAATGTCATATGACAATATCACTTTCCCAAAACCCCTTTACTTTAAAAACTATTTCCCGTGGGGCGCATATCGGGCTCGGGTTTTTAGTAAGAAATTTTGTTAGAAGTTTGAAAATTTATTTGCTGGGAAGTTTAAAATATACACAGAAAACCTCCCCCCCAAATAAGGAAAAAAAATGTATTTTTTTTGCCCAAAACTTTTTGGTCAAGAAAGGAAAATTTTTCCCAAAATTAGAGATAATTTTTTTAAAATCAATAAAAGTATTTTTTAAATATAAATTTTATTTGTGATTGGGGTTTTGATATATATAAAAAGATAAACTTTCATTGGTGTGATTTACTAGTTTTATATTTTATAGTATTATTCCCCGCAAAAAATGTTTATATATGTAATTAACAAAAATGTGGGAATAAAAAAATAATATTTTTTTTGGGTCTTAGGAAAAATTTTAAAATCCCGTCCCGTATATCATTTCTAAGTAAATTTGGGCCTGGAAAGCCAAATTCTTAAAAAAAATATATTCTTTTCCATTTAAAGGACCCCCATTGGAAAATTTAAATTCTCTATTTTATATTGAACTTTCATGTTTTCCTGTGTTTTAAAAATATTGTCTTGAAGTTTAACAAGATCTTTTGATTTAATTATTTAATGTAAAGTTAAAATTACTGGTGGTTTCCCAAATTTAATTACTGTTTTGTTAAAAACAAATTGTGATAGATATAATCTGGTGATAAATTGTCTGAATTTTCTTTTTATAATATATTATATATATATATATATATAATTATTTTATAATAATATATATATATATATATTAATATATAATATATATATATATATATAACATACACAAATAAATCAAACAACAACACCCGTTAAAATTCGGTTGACATAACTTATCTAGGGTGAAAGATTTCGTTTCTGTCACCCTCAATGGGAAATGACAATCATGATATATTGTTAATTTTATTGCCATATGATATTGATATGATTGATATGATTATCATATATATTTACTTTCAGATCGTATTTAGATGTAAATCTTGAAATGACTGGAAAACGTAATACATCGGAATTATTATAATCAGAAAAGTTACATGAAAATTGCAGAGTCGGTTTGATTGAGTCTGTGCATGAGGGATAATGAAAAGTGCAACATCCCTCACGCCCCCTAGCATTTAGTTGAGCGCTACTCAATTTTTAACACTTAAAAAATCTGGAGTCAAAATTTTTTTTTGAAAAACAGTAATATTAAGGTTTTTATTTTATTTTTTTCATATCATTGTACAAACAAATAATAATAATAATAATAATAATAATAATAATAATAATACAATAATCATAATAATCATAAGAATAAGAATAAAATAATAATAATAATAATAATAATAATAATAAATAATAATAATAATAATAATAATAATTTAATAAGAATAATAATGATAATGATAATAATGATAATAATAATATAAAATAAAATAATAATATAATAATAATAATAATAATAATAATAATAATAATAATAACAACAACAATAATAATAATAAAACTAATAATAAATAATAATGATAATAATAATAATAATATAATAATAATAATAATAATAATAAATAATAATAATAATAATAATAATAATAATATATTGATCATAATAATATAATAATAATAATAATAATAAAAAAATAATAATAATAATAAAATTAATGATAATAATATTATAATCATAATAATCATAATAATAAAAAAATAATACATCAAATCACCCATTATTCGATCAATATCACATCAATGTCTAGACAGACATACCTTTTAGTAAATGCATTATCGAAACAATTCATACAATTTAAATCACAACAACTAATAAGGGGAAAAATATAAATTATGCATTACTTTCATGACAAGAATATGGCTTAGTTACAATGCAGTTGACATTACTTAGATAACACGTATCTTTATATTGATCTGCAAGGAAGATCTAAAAAAATCAATTTTGTCATATTTGAGCTGTGTAAAAATAATAATTAGAAAAATTCGATATTTAGAATTAAAGCGTTCTTTGTCCTACATTCAGTTCAAATATCCGTTGAGACCACTTTAAAAAGAACTAAGTTTCTATGCCTTTGAACTTGTAATTGGTCAAAAGTATCATCCTAGTGGAATCAACATAGATGTGTCGTCTGCCTCAACGCCTGTGACAGACGTCAGATATTCACACATGCGGGTGTCTTCATGAAATGTTGCTCCGTAACAGACGTTAGTATTGTAGCATATTAAAGCGCAATGGAGGATGGATAAGGACTGACTTAGAGCTATGTTCAATACATGGACACCTGCACGTCTTTTGTTCAATATGTAGCCTTAAAAAGAGAAAATAAACGTATGATAGCTTTGTCCACGCCAAGCTAAAATATGAGCAGTAAAAGTTAGATGGGTGCACACATTTGTTTTTATTTATCTTAATGTATAAGCTGTAGGAATATGTGATATAACAGTGGTTTTTTATAGTGCAAACTGCAATCTCCCTTAGATCCTTCAGGTCAAACTGTTTGTCTTGATTTCGATGGACAGAGCATATTTGCAAAGTCCTTTCGAAGAGTTTGATTTGCCAATTAAACAAGAAAATATTATTTTCTCTTAGTGAGCATATTTGAGCCGCGTCACGACAAAACCAACATAGTGGGTTTGCGACCAGCATGGATCCAGACAAGCCTGCGCATCCGCGCAGTCTGATCAGGATCCATGCTGTTCGCTTACAAACCCTATTACATGTACAGAAACTGTTAGCGAACAGCATGGATCCTGATCAGACTGCGTGGCTGGATCCATGCTGGTCGCAAACCCATTATGTTGGTTTTGTCGTGACGCGGCTCATTTGATTTCTCAGATAACGTTTACCTTTTACATGTTAAGATATAAATTGAGTATATTTCAAGTTACGAGTACTCCGATATCAAAAATATTTCCCGTCCATTAGAACAGACTTTCTCAATAGCCTATATTCAAATGTTTACCTATCAGCCTTTTAGTTCTACAAAATTATATCTTAAGTCTCGAATCAAGTTGCAATATTTATTTTATTTCGTTTTCAATAACAAATAAACTAGATAAGGATAATTTAAGTACTTCATTAATTAAGTGAAATCATTATCGATGACCATGTTATTAGCAACTGAATATCCGATAGTTGTGAATTATTAAACACCCCTCATTCTATGTGTTCTCACATACTTGAAAATCTTTTGTTGTTCAAAGAATCATGTAAAATTATTAAATGATAGCCAAAAATCTTAATTACATTTTGCTTAATGACATATATAAAAGGTACATCCTTGTCCTATGCAAAAGTAATACAAATGTATAAGACTTTCTGCTTTATTTAAACCATTGTAATGCCCCCCCCCCCACATTTCGTTATCGTTATTAACATACTAATCGAAATTTCTTGGTTCGTTCTTTTTATTAAACACACCACCAAGTATGTTAACGTGTGAAATACTTACGATATGCGGAAGGGTATCCATATACCTCAACTTCACAAAGTTCAAAGAATTCTACTACTGATTCTGATCTTGTAATTCTCACCCATTGTCCAAACACTGTGTTGGTAAGGTTGAATGTGTGAATGATACCTTTTGGAAGAACACCTTCGTAAAACCCATACCGCGTGTATTCGTTTCTGCTAGGACCAATGTACAGTTCAATATCTCGAAGTCGTCTTTCAGCTTGAAAACAAATTTGAAATAAAACAATTATATCATCCAAGCATAATGTTGTTTTAATTATGACAGAGAGGAAGCTTTACTAGACTGTCGAAAGAAATCGTGTCGTGATAGATGAGCAAATATGTAAGAAAAGAGTATAACAATACATGTTATATAACCCAAATTCCAATTTGGAGGAATTTGTTGACATTGATCACATTTTAAATTTATCATAACGAATATGAATTAATCATAAAATGTGGTATTTTTATCGCGTGTGATATTTGCAAACAACATAAGCACATTGGCGCTTGTTTATGAAAATGCTCTATAGCTGTCCGTTATCAATAATAACGCTGATAAAACAAACATACTTACAATAGGGACCCCAAAGGTCACTTCTCGTGTATATGGTTACGTGATTAATGAAAACCATTTCTCCCAAGTCCACCTCCCAGTAAGCATTGGTTTCACTTTCTGTGTGAAAACAGGAGTTATCTGACGCATCTTGTGACAGGGTTCCGTCCACAGCCCTATCTGCTACACTACCATGGTGTGTGCTTGACTGAAAAGCATGCTTTCCAAGTGCCATATTTTCTGTAATATTAAAGGTCATATGAACATGCAAAAACTAGGCAATCTAATTGTACTACGCGTTGAGATATTGAGCAATTTCGTGCATGGGCAATAGATTCTGATCCAGAACAAAAATATCTCAGAATCTAGCTTTGGTACGTCGAAATTCATTGGCTAACAAAAACAAATATATATGACGTGCGTTGTGAAAGTAAACGTACTATGATGTTTTGCTCTTCATGCAACAAGTTTTAAAAGAAATTCTTGTATTGACTGTGTATGGTAGACCAGTGAATATAAGCACGAAATTAATAATTAAAGAGAACTAAATATGTAACCAATAACAAGTTAAATGTTTAAGTCCGTCATTGATGTTGGTTTGTCGTCATTGGCTTAATACAGGCTAGTCCATAATTAGAAAGTAAAATATTAATATGCAGATCCTCCTTTCTGAAAAATATTTATTTTCAGTAAGAAAACAGATTTTTCATGGGCAACTGGTTCAAACCCAAAACAAACCATGAAGTTTAATACTGTTAAGTATAAGACGACTTTTGAAACATTGTCATTTTACATCTTATTCCTTAAAATAGCTCGAAATATATTATCCCCATCCCCCGCCCCTGTGATTGTGAAGGGAAATGAAAATGGATGTTTTTAAAATCGCCTTTTTGTCACTTGGATTGTAATTGATATTTGGTTTACTTTGCGTTGACAAAATTGAATATCACATTATTTAATCTCAAGTCAACTGTAAGCTATGATAAAATGAGTAGAAAAGGAAGCACATGCTACATTGTTGCAATAAAACAGATTAAAATGAACATTATTATTATCGATACCCATGATATGTGATAATCTTACAAAGATTAATTACAATGACCGGGACCAAGTAAGGCAGGTTGTTAACGTCGCTGTTTTTAAAATACATGTGTGTTAAGAAAGCTGTCCAGCTATCTTACTTGGTGCTTGTGAATCGAGTCTTGTGATCACTGTTACAAAGGAATATGCATGAAAGGATGCCAAAAGTATTGAGGTATTCCTTAACCAGAAAGTCTAGGATGCCACTTTATGTTCTTTAGAATCCGACGACAAAAATACAAAACAATTATTTGAATGTGATAAATAAAATTGATAAAATGTCCTTAACTAAAATAACTTAGAAACTTTAAACGCCGCATCCCTATTCCGAGGTTAATGAGAAATTCGAAAAACGTGTCATAGTGATCTTATAAGTGAAGATTTATGATTAAGTTATTCTTACCTAAAATATGCATCTCGACTGATGTATATGCTCTGAAAATGATAAAAACAAGAAATAAATCCTTTCCGGCTTTATGTAACTCCATTGTTAAATCGAACCTTAGTACTAGTTATATTTTTGTAATGAAAGTTAATAAATATTCAGTATAACTGCGTTTGACAGGGCAATAAATTCTTACTCAAGTAATGAGAAAGAAATATTTTTTATATTTTCAAAAGCTCTAATTGCTATTCATAAATTATTCTTTCATCGGAGAGTGAAGAAAAACTAATGTGCAGAACAAAATACCATGCCTGGTTTGAGTATCATAATTGCATATATTCCAAATCGATAAAGACCAAAGGCACATTGATGATGTCGATACGTTTCATTTCTCATTCCAGCACTACTTTTCAAAGAAACGCTGAGCTTTTGTGATGGCCTACTCGTCTTCAAAGGCGGCGACGTCTGTGTTGGTGAACCTTGTCGGTAATGTTTTCGTTTATTGTCATTATCTTCAATACTAAACAAGGTATTTCATCGCAATTTGATTTGTTTATGAATCTTGTTGTTTTCTACCTGTCACACCTATTTTCAGGTAAAAAGGTCAAGGCCACTAGGACCTTTAGTTACAAACAATATAACTTGCTATTTAAACAAAGTGCATTGACCTATGATCTCAAAACTTTGTATGTAGATGCAACTCAATTAGCTCTACTTGCTACACTCATTTTAGTCAAGAACAACAAACAGAAAACTGGCCATTCAAGATATTACAGTGAAATTTTTGCTGGCGCAAACAGCAATCTTCCTAAGATCCTTCAGGCCATGCTGTTAATTTTGATTTCAATGTACCAAACATATCTGCCAAGTCTTTTTGCAGGGTTGGATTTACCAATTCAACAAAAAAATAATATTCTTTTAGTTTTAACATGTTTGATTTCTCAGTATATATATATTTTAATGTCGCAAATCAAATAAGTTTCACATTCCTTTCACTATAAACACTCTGTATATGCATACTACATAACTAACCAAGGGTCATTACTCTGAGTTACAGTATCTGACCGGAACAAGGCAACGATATGCGCATCTCCTGTTGGTACTGTTGAAGGTTCCCATAAAGTTTCGTTGGATTCAAGTCAGTAGTTGCAGAGAAGTAGTGCGGAAACGATTTTTGCTCTATATGCATACTGCATAACTAATCAAGGGCCATAACTCTGAGTTAAAGTGTCTGACCGGAACAAAGCAACGACATGCGCATCTGCTGTTGGTATTGAAGGTTCCCATAAAGTTACGTTGAATTCCAGCCAGTAGTTGTGGAAACGATTATTGTTCTATATGCATACTGCATAACTTATCAAGGGCCATACCTCCGAGTTAGAATGTCTGACTGGAATATGCCGATGAAATGCGCATCTCCTCTTGATATTGATGATTCCTATAAAATTTTGTTGAATTCCAGCCAGTAGTTGCGGAGAAATAGCGCTGAAACGATTATTGCTCTATATGCATAATGCAAAATTTATCCAGGGCATAACTCTGAGTTAAAGTGTTTGACCGGAGCAAGGCGACGATATGCGCATCTCCTGTTGGTATTGAAGGTTCCCATAAACTTTCTTTGCATTCCAGCCGGTAGTTTCAGAGAAGTAGCGCGGAAACGATTTTTGCTCTTTATGCATACTGCATAACTTATCAAGGGCCGTAAGTCTGATTAAAGTGTCTGACCGAAACAAGGCAACGATATGCGCATCTCCTCTTGGTATTGAAGGTTCCCATAAACTTTCTTTGCATTCCAGCCGGTAGTTTCAGAGAAGTAGCGCGGAAACGATTTTTGCTCTTTATGCATACTGCATAACTTATCAAGGGCCATAACTCTGAGTTAAAAGGTCTGACTTGAACAAGCCGATAAAATGCGCATCTCCTCTTGATATTGATGATTCCCATAAAGTTTCGTTGAATTCCAGCCAGTAGTTGGAGAAAACTAGCGCGACAACGAAATTCGGATGGACGGACGGAAGGACGGACGGACGGACAACACGAAAACAATATCCCCCTCCCGTTTTCATCAGCGGGAGATAATAATCTTTTAGGGGAAGACATGAGGTTAAATTGTTCTTATCTAAAACATACAGCTCGACTGAGGTATATGCTGTGATAATGATAAATACAACAAAAAAAGTCCGTATTGGCTTTATGTAACTCAATTTTTAAACCATGTTAAAGTCATTTATTGGTGACGACTGATAATCAATGTATTGAACACTGGTAATATAGAATAACTGGTTTTGAAAAGGACACAAATTCCTACTGAAATAATGTGCGAGAAGCAATTATCTTTTCATACCATTTTACCTTCATGGTTCTAATTGAAATTCAAAATGTTTAAATTATTCTTTCATCGGAGAGTGGAGAAAGCAATTTGGAGAACCATGAATGTTCATGCCTGCTTTGCGCATTATCGTCGAATGATAAAGAGATGTAGATAAGAAACGCAATACTGAATTCGATGCGTTTTTTTATATTGTAAGTAAAGTCTTGTCAATGTAAGACAAAACACAGCCAGATCTTAAACAAATTGAGAGACTCACTGTCTCTCGTATAGATCACAAGGTTTTGAACACATACAAAGCAAAATGGCAAAAGAAAATCTGAATGGAGGAAAGGGAAAGTGTTTTACATAAATATAAAACTAGGAAGAAATATGAAATGTGATTATATTAACAGTTATGTGTGACTAGTTGATGCAAATGACAGTTTGACAGCATCGTTGCATGTCCCTCAATTTAAAATGCCGTCCATTATTCCAAAAACAAAACCTCATGTCAATAGTTATTAGCAATGTTGTTAAAGTGTCATTGACATAAAATGGTCACAAATCATCACCATTAATATAACAAGTACGACATCAAGTTTTCAGCAACAAACTGAGGACGAATATTATTGTCAATCAAACTGAACTCATCACCAGATGCACCAACATACAGCCTTTCACTAGCAACGTCAATATAATCTTGATTCCGCCGACCAGTCAGTGTTTCTCCCTCAGGGACTTCAATGTGAGGTCTGCTAGCACATCTTCGAGCTGCAGGCCCTATAGATAACCCAGTGATGCAAACCATTTTTTTTTTTGCAAACCCAACGATGTTGAGCTAACCAAACGGGATTCATTAGCTTTAAGCATGTTTGCGTCCGATTAAATGTATTCTCGAATTTGTATCAAGGCAAAATCAATGAAAGTGTAACTCCTTAATTAGTTCGTTCTTTGGCATCGATTCTGCTGATGGTAGGGCGCAATAAATATATATAATAGATGTATAAAGATCCGATGATAAACAATTTTAAGTGCTTTTCTTGCACTTAGAGAAATCGTGAAAGCAGATAATCGCTCTTTGCATTTAGTAAATACTTGCACCAATATATTATTATTCAGCGGCAGAACTGGTAAGAATGTAACTCATACATAATATATACATGTAGTTTAAGTGAAAGGCTAAACACTTGGGAGAAATGATGAAAGGACGGGTAAATTACAAAATGCGTCGTTCACGGTCCTATACACCCCAATGACTGAATGTTACAAGATGAAAACCTGTATTCTAGTATTTTACAAACTCATTTTATAGCCGTGTGTTAAAATAGAGAGAAAAATAACAGAATAACAAACAAGCAAACTTTGAATAGAAGCATATGAACGGTCTTTAAACTATTGCAGATGACCTGGCAGATGTAGGTGATATTTTATAACAACATTGCAATCTCTTTTAGATTAAAATGAAAAACAAGATCTATTTCGCATAGTTAATTTATTATAATAAGTGTTACTACATACTTGCAGTTTTCTTATTGTAATTTTTAAACTGTACAGTGAGTCCGCTTTACATGTAAATGAATGTCTCAGTTGCGTCTAGAAGGTGCCCAAGACACATATTTCTTTTTTTCTTTTTCTTGCATGATGAACAACGTCCTTTTGGAACTTTTTTTTTTGGAAAATGCCCAATAACTTATGTATAAACCCATAAACACTTTGAACTTTCATGTCATGAACACGTCAGCAATATAATGACATCAGCTTCTAAAGTTTTTAGTTCAATGCAAGCATTGAAATTTAAACTTAAACGAAATACTTTTTATCATTTACGCGACCAATCCTCAGACTACCACTGTTTGGGACGGCGGTGATGAAAATGATGAACATTATCTTGAAAAAATGCAATACAGAGCAGCGCATATAGTCATAGACATTCGTGGATCGGTATCTTTAAAATGTCATCTCCGAGAATTAGTCTGGGTATCTTTGTTGGATAGGAGAATAAAGCAAACATTAATATTCTAATACGCTCCAAACTATTCCGATATCAAGCAGTTAGGACAAGTGTTAGTAAGCAGTTAGTAAGTGTCTATCGGCCTCATTGATCATATTCTCGAACCTTTCATTATTTTACAACAATGCAGTCAAAATTGGTATTATTTCCTAAGAAAACAAGATAGTAAGCTACTTTCAGTTGTTTCGATATATTTTATAACAACTATGTGACTTTCGCACGGCGAACATAAGTATTCACACAATTTTTTATTACTTTATCCATTGATTTATGGAACAATTTTGGTGATCATATCAAACATACGGCTTCATTAAATATTTTTAAATACCGTCCGAAAGTATTATTTAAACACGAAGCTATTCTTAATTATTTTGAGAAGAAATATTTTTGAAAGACGATAGTTACCTCAACATTTTTTATATAAATAATACTTGCTACGTTCATTTCTAACAGGTATCGAGATGCGTGGTGTTTTGAAGACCTTTAAAGCGGCCTTCAGCTTTTCTAAAAGATACAATATTATGTAATTTTTAGATAAAATTTCATATAATCGTCAAATCAATGGAATTAAGATGGGAACTGAATTTTGACGACGATAAACATAACAACAATAAACAATAAGGAATCCCCTCGATACCTCTGATCTACCGGTCCACTCTCTATTTGTTCCTATTTTTAGAAACGAACGTCACTGCTGCGTCATAAATAGCTTTTTTTAAAGAAGGCTTTACAAAGATATAATGCTGGTTATTGTTGTTGCTTTTTAATTACTGAAGAACTTAGTTTAAAACAACACATAATAATTTGTTTTCCCGACAAAAAGGCAGCTGGTCAAGGCCGCTTTAAAAAAAGGAATTTGTGATCCTGTGACTCACAGAAGAACAATGAATTTTTGATGAATTTATTTCAAAACAGTAAAAAAAATCAAGAAAGAAATTAAACAAAACAAACAAATATAATGCTGTACACAATAATATAGACAAAACAAACAACTCGACGATTAACACTGTACATAGTATATCTATTACAAATAAATAAAATACGTAAAAGTATGGTATAAAAATAAGAAGTTTGCGCGAAATGACTGAACCAGCCATGTTTATATCACAATACCTTATTGCATTTTATACATAACAAAGGCGCAGGAGGTAATACTTTGCAGATTAGTAATTTACGGGTTTACAATTGTAGTCAGCAAAATAAAAAGGTATATGTCCAAAACTACATGTTACCAAGTGAGAATTATATCCAAAACCTCAACAAAATGTATAACCTTGCCCTGATTGAATCTGGGATAGATTTGGTTATTTTTTGCCCTACATTGAATATTATTTCCCTGAGGTTATATTATTTATATTGCAATCCAAATATTGCGTAAGTCAGTTATATTCTAAATACTTATTTTTTCAGTATCAAATGTAAACTAGAATGTAGAATATATTGAGCAGTATGATGAATATTATACAATAGTATGAATCTTTGGTAGTATGATAAGAAGTTATGTTTATGACATCTGTTTTGTGATATTGCTTGATTATTAACAGTGTCTCTGTTCTTGGCGCTTGTATGATTATTTGTATGTTTTTTCCCGTTCTTAGCGCTAATTATTTGTTTTGCTGATGTCTTCTGCCTGCGTTCTTGTATGATTATTTGGTGTTCTGGTGTCTTCTACCATGCTCTTGTATGATTATTTGTTTTGTTGAAAATCCTTCTGTTCTGTGCTTAGTTTATGAATTAAAAGTTGAGCGCAATGACTTTTTTACTTATTCTATAGGTTAAGTTGTGGGTTTAATGTTTTTCTTTTTTTTTCGGGCTTTGTTTATTATATGTTTTCGTTCTTTTTTCTGTGTTTTGTAGATTATAGTAATGGGCATGCCCCTGTTTTGAGCTCCTTCAAAGTACTAAAGTCCTGAAATAAAAAATTTATTTTTAATAATGATGATAGGGAAATGATTGAGACGAAGAAGAACGATGAAAAAGGGGGAGAGACGCGAGGAGGAGACGATGAGAGTAATGAAAATTATATGATGTTTGCAAAAATTATGCCCTATACGTATATAAAATAAAACTACCTGGTAATTATGATATTAAAATGACTAATTTCTGCTGATGAAAACAACATCAATTATTTTGATTATGACACTGACAATAAAATTTGATTTAACTAAAATAGTCTCCAGTGAAAACAAAAAAAAAACAACAGAACAATGAAAAATTACAACATCAGTAACACGTTGTGGCATGGCCAAGTGGTTCAAGTGTTGGACTAGAAATCGAGTAAGGGGCAAACAGTTGATTCCTTCAGCATGACAATTTACACTTATTGCTCAGTACTTGTTAATTCTAGGAACGCATTATTGAATGTTTCCATAAGTTTATAGCTTCCTACATAATCGAACTTAAGTAAATTCTGTAAAAACATTACAATATTAACATTAACAATTCTACCAATTCAACAATAATAGCAACAACACTACTAAAAACATCCAGTGATTGTAACGACAATTGTAGCAACAGTAACGGTAGAAACAATATCGATAGTAACATCATTTATGTATAACAACAGCAATATGAATTTTGATGATATAAGCAGGGATAGCAACAGATGTTATTACAGTTTTTTAACAGCAACAATTATAGAAACAATATAGGCAACATCAATGATGCAAACAATTCAAGATAAAGCAATAGTTCAATGATGGCAACAATTCAATGATGCAACAATTCAATGATGGCAAGTTCAACTGATATTCGCGGTGGCAACAATTCAATGATAGCGCGCAACAATTCATATTTCGCGCTCTTATAGGAACAATGTATAATGATGGCAATCATCGTTTATTCAATTGATGGCAACAATTCTTATAATCTGTCCGCTAGACAATGTCTTTTGTTCTGTACAATAGAGTATTGTATGACACCTGGTATTGAAAATAACTGAACTCCCACGATGATTACAGTAATCTTCCTTTTTAACCTAGTGGTCTACGCGAATTTATGATTTTCGGCAGTAACCTCCGCGAATTCAAAATAGCGCGAATATTTGTATAGACCCCCAAAGTGGACCTTTCCGCGAAAATTTGCTTCCGCGAATTTAAATACACATACAGTAATTCAATGATTGCAACGGTTTAATGATGGCAAAAATTCAAAGATGGCAACAATTCAACGATAGCAACAGTTCAATGGTGGCAATAATTCAATGATGGTAAAAGTTCAATGATGGCAAAAATTCAATGATGTCAACAATTAAATGATAGCAACACTTCAATGATGACAACACTTCAATGATGACAAGAATTCAATGATAGCAACACTTCAATGGTGACAAGAATCCAATGTTAGCAACAATTCAATGAATACAAAAATTCAATGATAGCAACATTTTGGTAACTGCAACAGCAATTATTCAAATTCAAATGTTTTAACAACAGCAAATGATAACAAAAGCATTGGAAAAAACTGCAATGAGATAAAAGGTTATTGACTTAAGTAAAAACTTTAGCAACAGCAAAGATAATAATATATTAACAGCTGTGAAAAATAATAATTTTAATAACTTACAATGAGAAATGTGGCACCAAGCATCACAGCTTTCATTTTGACATCTAAATCCATGGGAACTGCAAACATATCAAAAACGTAAGAATAGTATGTGTAGTTAATAAATGTTGTCACGAAAAGTTAACTGCCATAATAAACGGAGTCTTGTTATAACATTTACGATACAGGTATAAATAAGATGCTTAATATAAAGCAATAAATTTATTTAACAATTAGTAAAAATACATAACACATTGAAAAAGGTAAAGAAATATGAAAGTAAAGTAGTTTCATTTTAGGATTTATTTATTTATTTATTTGTTGTTTTGTTTTGTTTTTTTTTTGTGTTTTTTTTGGGGGGGGGGGGGGGGGTTTAAAAAATTTTTAAAAAGATTTTTAACGCATATTTTATTTTAAAACCCTTTTGGGGGACTTCCACTTTTTTTTCTGAAAGCTTTGGCTTGGGGGTAAGACATTTAAAACCCTTTTGGGTAGGCAAAACAAGGGATTTTTAAAAATTTTATTTGGACCGTCGTTTTCCATTGGGGCAGATCACATTGCCGTTAAAAAAAAATTTTTTCGGGGGTAAAATTTTACCAGCCATTTTTTCTATCGTATAATAATAAAAGGGGGAAATTTAAAGAAAAATATTTACAAAATTGGTTAAAAATAACGCTTTAAATTTGGTTTTTTTTTAAAGGGTTTTAAAATTTTATGTAAAATAAGAAACCCAAATTCCCAAAACACCTCGTTTGATTACCCAAAAAAACTTGTTTCCAAACTTTGGGGGAAAAGGTTTCGGAAAAAGTTGCGAATTTTTTTTTTGAAAATATATCAAATTTGCAGTCGAAAGGGGTTACATTAAATTTTATACTTTACATGTTACCCCCAAAATTTTCTTCAGACGTTGGGAAAAAAAAATTTTTTTGAAAGGGAAAATTTTCCCATTTGCCTTTTTAAATTTTTTCCCCACTTTTTGTCTTCCCCCCTTTGGGGTTTCGGAGGGAAAATTTTAAAACAAAGCAAATTTTTTAAAATTAAAAACCCGGTTTCTTAAAAAAAGAAAATCGACCAATTCAAAAAAATGAACGATGGCAAAAAAGTATATAAGTACAAGATATAAAGTATTTGGGCCATTATCGAATAAGGGGAAAAATTGGGCCCGTTGGTTTAAAAATACTCTATTCAGGGGGAAAATTAAAATGTGTTAAAAAACAACATTACAATTAATTAAAAAAACTTTTACACAAAGGGAAAAAAATTATAAAAAAAGCCATTATAAAAAAAAATTTTTTATTCATGGGGTTTAATAAAAAAAAACAAAAATTTTTGACAGTTTTTGCAAGGGTTTCCTTTAAGGGGAGTATGTTTCCCGATTCATGCTAATTTTCATGAAAAATTTGGGAAAAGTTTCATTTTAAAGTGGAAAAAAATTTTTTTAAAAAAAAAAAACAAAAAAAAAAGTTTAATTTTCACTTTTCAAAAAAGGGTTTTTTCAAAGGGGTTTTAAAACCCATAAATTACCAAAATTTAGGCAAAAAATGCAAAAAAAAAGCCCCTACTGGTACGGGGCAAGCTAACCCCAGTAGAAAATTTCGGGGGATAAAGCCTTTCAAAATTTTGTAAGTCTTTTATTAAACAAAAAAACACGTAAAAAAAATTACTTAAAATTTTTGAATTTTTTAAATTTTTTTTTAAATCTAATTTAAAAGGGAAACATTTTTTCTTTTTTTGATTTTTTGGGCATTTTTTTGGGCCCCTTTTTGGGGGGGAAAGGGCAATTTTTTTTAAATTTCCCCAAGTTCCCATTTTGACTTTAAATTTTTTCATTCCGCACTGTTTACTTAAAAATTTTAAAACCCCCACTTTTTTATAGCTTTCCCAAAAACTTTGGGGGTTTAAAACATAAATTTATTTTTTCCCCTTGGGGAAAAAATTTTTCTCGTTTACTAAACCTTTTGGGGGAAAATGACAAAAAAAACAAAGGGGAAAAAAACAAATAAAATTTTAAAAGAAGAAAAAAAAAGTTCAAAAGGCTGTAAACCAAATGAAAAAAAACGGAAGGGCCCGGAAATAACCCCCAAAATTGGGAAAAAAAGAAGGGGTTTTAAAGAAATTTAAAAAAAAAGGAAAAAAAAGGGGGAATAAAAGAAAATTTTCCCAAATTAAGGTTGGGCTTAAAGAATTTTAAACCAAAAAAAAGGGAACCCAAAAGGGCTGTAAAAAAAATTGGGGACATTTTAGAAAAAAAAAAGGGTTTTAAATTTAAAAGGGGGAATTTTGCAAATATAGGGAAAAAAGGGGGGAAAAAATTTAAAAATTTTAAGTGAATTTAATGGGGTTTAAAAAAAAAAGGAATTTTAATGTGAAAACCCATAAACAATTATTATTTCAATTTTTCGGGAAAAAAGACGGGGGGCAAAAAACCAAAATTTAAAACCCAAAAACCCAAAACAAAAAAAAGGGGAAAATTAAAGGGGCCCGTAAAAAAGAATAGGGCAAATTGACAATTTTAAAAAAAAAGTTTTGGGAAAACCCCAAAGTTTTAAAATTTTTAAAATTTTAAAAGGGTTAATTTTTGTTTTCTTCCTAATTCCTTTTAAAAAAACAAAAAGCTTTTTATGAAGGTTTTTTTTTCTATTATGGGATTTTAAATGGAATTTTTTTTACTGTAAAAGACCCTCCCCAAGGGCAGCCTTGGAAGACGGCCCAAAATGGGCCTTCTATGTAGAGGGAAAGTCCTTTTTTATCGGGGTCCATTATCTTATTTCTTTGGAGCCATAAAAACTTGGGCTGTAAAAAGTTAAAAATGTTTTTCATAGTTCTTATAGTTTTGTAATTTTGAATTGACGAAGGGGATAAAATTTCATCAAGAAAAAAAAAGGAAAAATTAAAAAAACCCCAAATATTAAAACCCCTTTTCATTTTTAAAAGTTTATTTCCCAAAAGATCTTTTAATTTCATTTTTTGTTTTTTGGGTTTAAAACCCGACTTTTTAAAAAATTTTTATATTGGACATGCTTGCTTTTTTAAAGGGGAAAAATTAAAAAAAAAAACGGGGAATTTTCACTAAAAAATTTGTTTTCCCCCAAAAACCCCCCACACCTTTAAAACCCCCGAAAAAAAACCCCGACCTTTCCCATAAGCTAGATAGATAGCTTCATTACCATGAAACAATCAATGTCATGGGCGGTATTCGAACCCAACAGAAGTAGGCTAAAAATGATATAATCCGCCACCGGCCGGGAGGAAACACTTTTATGATGATTAAAAAAAAGAAAAAAAAAAACCTTGTTTTATTTCCAAAAGGAAAAAAAGGGGGAATAATGAAAAAAATTAACACAAAATGAAAAGGTTTTGAGGCTATATTTTTGGGTGTCAATTTTTTACTGCAACAATATTATTTTAAAATAGATTTTAAAAAAATAAGTAGAAAAAAACCCTAAACTTATTTTCCCAATTTTTATATGACTTTTAAAATAACAAAAATTTTAATCAATGCAAAATTTTAACCTTTGGCCCCCCGAGCCGACGACAGTGCCGACGGGGGCCTCGACGGCGATTTTTTGGGGAAAAACAGTCAGAGAAGGCACACCCGTTGATTCTTTTCCCGCACCGGGGAAATCGCGCTGAAAAACCCATAACTTTCCTGTAAAAAAATGTTTGATTTTTGTGGTTGATAAACATATGAAGGGGTTTTCAGCCGACGGACAAATTCACGCTAAAATGGAAAGAAGTTCACATATTGAAAAAACATTTTTTTTCAAGGGACACCCTTTTTTAACCCTTATTTTTGCCTTTTACAGAAATTTAGAAAAAGGCCCTCTCATCGCCTGCAATCTTCAATTTCTATAATGCTTGTACTTCATTGTTTTCAATCTGATATTTAAAATCATTAACTTTCGAATGCAAAAAAAGTTAAATCAAAAACTTGTATTTAAAAATGGGGCCGGGGCTGTTTTAAAATTTTGTATTTTAAATTTTATTATGGGGGCTATGAAACAAAATTTTTGTCCATTAATTATAAAAGCAGAAAATTTTGGGGCGGGGGGATTTAAAAAACCTTTTAAGTGCTTCAAAAACACCCTGTACAAATTTTCTTTAAAAAAATTTGGTAGGCCCGTTAAAAAAAAATTGGGTTTTCCATCATTTTTTGTTAGCTTTTTTTACTTTAAAGGTTTTAAACAATGTTTTATCCCCTTAAAAGGGGGACCTCAAAACAAAAACCTCTTTACAAGGGGAAAAAAGGCGAGTAAACTTTGGGGTACTACAAAAAAAACTTTTGTCGAAATATATTTATTTTTGGGGGGGGAAAAAGGGAAGGGGGCCGCAAAACATTTTTTGAAACCTTTTTAACCCCAAAACCCATTTCCCCGGGGGTTTTTAAAAAATTTTTTTCTACTTGTTAAACCCCAACAGGGCGGTTTGGATTTAAAATTTTAAAACCCCCTTTTTAATTTAAAAATTGATGTATTTTATTTTTCCCCAAACTTTTAAAAAATTCCCAAATTTCATTTTAGACCGGTTTAAATTTTATTTTTTTTTTAATTTAAATTTATCAAAAGGGTTTCCCTTTTTAAATTTTTTTCCCCCCAAATGGGTCCCCACAATTATTACTTGAGTCGCGCAAATGTTTATAATTGTTGTTATTACCCCTCACTTTTTTCGTAATGTTAATTTCCCATAGGCCTCTGGGAGTTATTCTTACTGTTAATGCAAGTGTACCACGTGACTACGAATTTTGTACTGTTACATAGGTAACAGTATTTTTTAACAGTATAAAATCTGGTCACGTGGTCTATTTTCTAAATAAAATGAAATAAAATGGCCGCCATTTTTTTTCTCGATTCATTCTTATTTTCGACGATAGGGATAGGGCATCGCCGAAGTAACTATTACTCTGATAAAATTTAGTTCTTTGCACCCTAGAGTCCCTTTCGCGTATTAAATATCTTTTTGTTAAATAGTCAACAGGAAACATCCGTTTTCAACGGAAGCAATTGTAATGTAAATAATTTTGTGTCAAACTGGAACATGCAGACAATTAAAGCATGCAACAAAGGATAATTTAACAATTTTAACCAGTGAAACGTTACAGATACAGTAGAGTTGGTGGACAGACATACGTAGGATATCATTCGTTATTTTCTATTGCACTTTGTCAAAAACTTATGCTAGAAATATTCTGGATGCAAAAGGATCAGATTTCACAGATCATAACCTTTATAAATGGGGTTAGTGTTTTTTTTTCTGAACAAAACACAGCCTTATTTTGTTTATGACTGGTAGATATCATCACTTTGCCTAAGGAATAAAGAAAAACATCTTCTCAAGTAGGCCTACAGCTGCACTTAAAACTTGCAAGGTCCAAGGACAGTTTAGTAATTGCTTCTCTTGGCTTATTTTTGTTACAGTTTAGATTTAGTTGAGAAAATTCAGATTCATCACAGTATTTGTTCGGGGGTACATAAAATAAATAACACATGGGTTTTCGGGTAACAGTAAAAATATCATCCCTCGTTTAAATACTGTTACCCTCGGCTTACGCCTCGGTAACCCAGTACGGGGGTATATTTTTTCGTTACCCCCCAAAAAACCCTGTGTTATTTTTATAATATTGACCAATTACGAGTTAGACCCAAAAAGATCAGCCATAGACAGCAAGGGGGGGGGGGGGGCATTTAGGAAAAAATTTTCCCTTCCAAATAAAATGGAATAAAATGGGGATATATTTTTTGTTTTTTCTTCCCTCGGAAAGCCAAATCTATAAAAAAAACATTTTAAAATTTTTCAATTTTATCCCCCAAATTTTTCAGTTTATGCATAGTGAAAAAAATTTTGTTTTTTTTGACCAAAACTGTCTCTTTTCAATTTTCTGCTGACTCTTAAAAAAAAAACAAAAAAGGGAAACATAAATTTTGAAAATAAGTGTATTCTTTAAAAGATTTAAAAATCACAACTGTTTTTGGGGGCAGTAACCCCTTAAAAGGGCCCCTTGCAAGAAATTTATTTTATCACCCAAAATGGGAAAAAAAAAAGCCTTCCCCGGCCCATTTTTGACCTTTTTTTATTTATTTTCCCTAAAAAATTTAAAACGGTTTTTTTTTAAAAGATGAATAACAATTTTTTCCCCAAAATGATGGGGTTTTTTTGCGTCGCGCCAACCCCAGTAAAAAGGTTTTAATTTTTGGGGGACTTTTCCAAAAATTAGTGGTGGAAAAAAAAACTCAGGTAAAACGCCCTTTTGTTTCAATTTTTTTAGGGTTTTGAAAAGGGGCACCTTAATTTTAAAAAAAAAGGGCTTTTTGTTTTAAACTAGCTTTAAAAACTTCCTCGGGGATGGGAAAAAATCAAATTTCCCGGGGAAAGAACCCACAGCGAAATTTAAAGGCCCCAAATGGTTTAAAGGGCAAACCCCAACCCCCTTTTGGGCCCCGGATGCCCCCCAAAAAACCCAAATTTTTTAAAATTTTGATGTACTTAATGTAAAAATACAGATAATTATACAATTTACTTACCACCTCTTTGGCAAAATAAACTTGTTGTCCCAGGGTATTAAGAATTCTATATTTATTCTTTGCTTCCCAGTTTGTAAACACTGAAATTTCAAATGAATTAACGTGAAATTTAAATATCATATTATAAGTTATATATATTATATGAGTAACACAGGTACTGTAAATATAATAAGATAACTTTTCTATCTTTACTGCTTGAGGAAATCAACAAATTATCCTCTTGTCGTGTACCGTCAAATCAAGAGTGTCCCCACTTTATTTGTCGTGCTATCATTTTAATGAAGTGATGTACAATCACATTCATTATGTCGTGTTGTTGCAGCAGCACAGCTGCTTATTCACCACCAAGGCTAAACGTGAAATACACGACGCCCACTTCACATATCTGAAAAAGGGTGCCTATATGATATACAGGGTGGCGGCGTAGTGATCAGTGAACCATGGTTGCCTTAAGCAATATAAGACTTTGAAAAGGATCAAGGAATAAAATAAAGTCAGAGGTTTCATGTAAAATTTAGATCTAAGAAACAGTCAACTTAATTTTCATTAAAAAAAATCGGAAACTCGTTCTTTGTGTTGACTATGACTTAATTACGTAACTATATAACTCTTAACAAAGACATTTTAATGGCTGATATTGAATAATAGTGATAATAATAACATCACAAATGTGACCATAGGTTTTTACTACAGTTATGATTGGTAAGACTTATTTCCCTGTTGGCATAAAAATTGTATATTTACATTCCATTAGCTCGATCTTTTGTTTGATGAGAATTTGGTCAATCTGGGTCAGATATTCTAGTCCCGGGGGACAATTTGGTGCTCCTGTTGCTGGTTTTGGCATCCATACTGGCGGGGGAGGCTGAGCACTGGCCATAACACCTACATAGGTAAGTGTAAAATATAACTTAAATAAATGTTGTAAATTATAGGATCTGTAAATTAAAAACACACATACACACGAATTGGATCCGTGTCAAGTACAAGCAAATATTAGAATTAGGTATTATTATACTGAAGTGTTTAATATAATTACAAGAGGTAGATTATCCGATATTTTTTTGATAGATTACCATATGCCATTACTTAATATCGTGTTGAAAAAAAAACACACAAGGTAAAAGCAGTATAGAAATATTCATATATTCATAACACTTAGAAGTTTCCTGAAAAAAATACAGCGTCCCTGGAATTATGATTTTTAAACAACACTCTATTTATAAATTGTATATTTTCCTATAAGTATGCTTTTTTAATTAGTTTTAATCATTTAGAAGTTTGCATATGCAATGAATTATTGGAGTATGCAACATTACTTTCATTTAAAAAGTTATTTCACGTCTTGTATCAAAGTACATACCTCCAAGTCCTCCATACATGGCTTGTTGTCCAGGCTGACCTGCAATTTTTTGGGGTTGTCCAGGGTGGCCCCAGGGCCCCCAAAACGGTTGTCCAGGGTTTTCCCCGCATACGGGTTTTCCAGGTTGCCCCGCATCGGTTTTTCCAGGTTGCCCAGCATATTTTTTTGCCCGGGTTTTAAGAGGGGTTTTGAAAAACAAAAGGCCCTTTTGAAAACCCGGTTGGGCGTCCACGACTGGTTGGGCGGGAGCGACTTTTAAAAAAGTAATATTATCATTTTAAGAACTGTATGCATTATATCATTGAAACATTTCGCTATACGGCGTATACTTTGTTACGTCATAAATCTATGAAAAAAACAGCAGGGGAAATATAGGTGTCCTTTTTTTTGGGTATTTAAATATCGGGTGATAATTAACGGCCCCGGGCAAGGTCACCCCTTTTTTCACCCAGAAATTAAAAAGCTGGTTGTTCCACAAAAATACTCTACTTTAAAAATATTCTTTTTCCTTACATTACAAATTTTCAGTAGACCCTTTTAATCCCCAATATTTTAAGTTTTTTTAGCAAAGCTGTTTTCCCTTTTTTCAAATAATCATGTTTTATATCAGCAAGCAAAAATTTCATTATGAATCAATACTCGAAAGGGAAAAAGGGATAGACAGTCCCTCACCCCCCCCCACGTCCTATCCCCCCCCCCCCCTTCCATCCCTTTCAAAAAACATCGTATGCAGTGATTTTCCCTAAGATAAGTAAAATTAAATTTTTTATTAAAATTTTTATAAAAAAATCATATTTTCAAAATCAATAAAACATTATTGCGGCACATTAAAATTACGCACTGTCTATAGCGGCCAATGAACCCTGTCATCTGTTATGGCATTATTATATTTGATCAATACGTACTCGTTCACGTATACTACAGTAACAATGAGGGTCATCGGATTTCACGGTGTTTAAAGAATTAAATAAACTATTGTGAAATTACATTGATGGAATAGCAAAATATTAGATCAATACAATTGTTGTGGAGCGTATCCATAATAGACTGCAAAAGTGATTAAAATAAATCTATTTATAGATGAAGTATTGTTTAGATTGTAAAGACAGTATATCTGCGTAATTTATGGTAATGAACTTGCCCTTCTTTAAGATTGGATTAATTTCATTTGATGTTTGAAAGGGTTTTTCTGCATTATTAAAACTGGCTTGGCAGACTGCCTTGATTGTATACTCGTTTAAAAAAAGTCTAAAATAAAGGCAGACCTATTTCCCCAAACCCTATTAACCCCCACGCCCCCAGTGAAAAAATTTTAAATTTATTTTTCCCACAGAAAGTTCTTTTTTTTTTTTGGTCGGTATAATTTAAAAAATTGCGCAAATAATAATTTCTAATTTTCTATGGAACTTAAAATTTTTCCCCCCCTTTTTCTGGATCTATTCGTTTCGCCAGTTTTCCAAAAATATTTTTGAGGGTGGGGTTAAAAAAAAGTGACAGCTGCAGAAAATTTCGTGATGTCAAATGTTGTTGTTGTTTTATTCTTTCTTTTTTTTTCTTTTTCAAATATCGCAAGTTTGAAATAAATGAAGTGATTTCGTGTTACACACATAGACATTATTCGCCACTTAAGTTCATAGCAATGGCACTCTTGTAATTTGTATGATATAAATATTCTAACTTAATTCTGTCGTCACTGGCACCGGTAATACGGTGTACTATTTGGATAGAAAATATAACTGGAAAAGCTGGGGAGAGCCGATCGTTTAATGTTGTTAGAAATTGGGCCCAACCCTTTTGCTATAACCAACCCTTTTGCTATTTGTTAATTAAAATCAATTTCTTTTTCTGCATATTTACATGTATATAGTAGCAATAAAATATGATTAAACTAATATGACTGAAAGTAAGTTCCTGCAAACATAATGTATGTTTTCATGCTAAATAACTCGAGTGGTATCAAACATTATTTGTAACACAAATACATAAATGTATAACATTTTTTTTTGTTGATTTTTCTTTTTTAGGGGGGGGGGGTAGGGGTTGAGGGGGGGCTAGCTGACCCTACTTGTTGACTGGGATGGCGGGAGCGACTAATAAAACAGAATCTCGTTATAATCACCGTATTTAGGCATTCACTTATGTTATTGTAACTGCATGAAATAATTTTCTAAAATAAATAATAAATATACTGTATAAATAACTTACCTTGGTTTGAATTCATGGTTGTTTCGGCTATGTGTGATCTATATTTGATTCAACGGCGTCTATGGAAAAAGAAAAAAAATATTGTTAACACAAAATAGTTCATAGAACTATACTAGAGTACATTAGATATGAACATTTGTGGTGGGAAAAAAACCCACAACCCCCCCCCCCCTTTTATTTCTACCTGTGTATAAGATTCCAGTTCACATAAAAATGTTTAAATGTTTAATGGTACAAGAGAATCAAGAGGATTTTTTTAAGAGACACAATTTTACAATTTTTCATTTTCTCCGAGTTGATAATATATAGACCGTCACCAAACTGTATATATAGATTAAAAGTTTGTGTAAATTATGACGTTTTGTGTTTATTTTATATCGTATAATCGCGTTTTCAAATCCTCTTAACAAAGTTTACGGTGCTTATACTATTCGAATTTGAATTTGACCCAAAAAAATATTTATCAATAAATATTCAAATTATAAAAATTGTTAAATTGGTTTTAAAGCGGGGCAATATACAAATTATTGTTAAATACATCGGGAAAGGAAAACAAATATATTTTTAAAAATGTCAAAATGTCAAGTACTTCAAAATAAAATTTACGGGTGTTATAAAAATAGATACGTAGTGGGTTAAGTATTTTGTTGCGATAAAGTGATATTATATATATGAGCCGCGTCACGACAAAACCAACATAATGGGTTTGCGGCCAGCATGGATCCAGACCAGCCTGCGCATCCGCGCAGTCTGACCAGGATCCATGCTGTTCGCTTACCAACCCTTTTACAAGTCGAGAAACTGATAGCGAACAGCATGGATCCTGATCAGACTGCGCGGATGCGCAGGCTGGTCTGGGTCCATACTGGTCGCAAACCCATTATGTTGGTTTTGTCGTGACGCGGCTCATATAGTGCAAATAAAAAGTCACGACGGGTTGTCAATTTGTTATAATATCATAAAAATGTTAAACAATTCACATGTTAAGCATACGTAAAAACAAAAACATTAAAAAGGAAAACATATAACTAAATTTGTCAGTCAGTATTTTAAATATAAGAGAATTGAATCATTTACAGTACGCATGTCTTTAAAACAGTAGATTTACTAAAAAAAAAAACGCAAACTTATTGTGTTATTGTTAACATTAAAACATCCCATAGGTATTCTAACTTACTAAAATCACGTGATGGAAGTCACGGAAAATAAGTATTAAGCTTGTCATTAGCTCGCTTTAAACTCGTTAAATATTCGTCTTCATAGCACGGACACCCGTGCTTAAAATCATATATTTACATTAACAAAAAAGAAGAGATAAGTAATAAAATTAACGAAACATCCTACCTAATCTAATTTATTTCCAATATGCCGTTCGATCTTAAACCAGTTCAACATACAGTACATTCATTATTCACAATTTATTATCTTCCTTATTGATCAAATTTTAACCATGAAAAATTGAAAATTAGACGATCGTTGAACGGGTTAAATCACTTTTAAAAGCGATCCAATTTCAGTTAATGTTTAAAGTTCCGTATAAAGGTATAATATTAATATTATATTATTGTAGAACTTTAACAATACAGTCATGTCGGAACATGTTTTATATTGTTTTAACGAAAAATCTAAACAAACGCAAATATGTGTGATTTTAATATATACACGTTTAATAGGCATTGCAGAAAGCTTATTTATAATTATTAGAAGAATGGGTGAGAAAACAGTCATTAAAATAAATGCATATATATGTGTTATAGAATCAGCTTAGTTTACAAGCACTCGCATGACTTGATCAATAAATACCGAGAAAAAACATTGTATCAAAAAGTATGACAATCAATGTGATTGGTTTAATAGTAACAAAAGGAAAACATAATTTACAATGAAATTGATTGGTTTATTTTTTTTCTAATTCTGAAGTCCTTTTCTCTTACTGACCATAGATTGTAAACAATGATTTGAAGTTATTAAATGCACATTATGCCTCGGAATATTTTTTTTTACTTCTTTAAAAAAAGGTTAAACAGAATTTTATAACGTTTCAATAATGGTTTTAGAGAACATAAGATGTTTGTCACATAAAACATGTAGCGATAAATCTGAAATAATTTGTCATATAACTTGGAAAATATAATCAAAGTAGATTATGACTTCCATAAAAATATACTATGTCTGTACTAATAGCAAAAAAGCAGCGGATGTTTCAGGTAATAGGCCTGTGAGTAACCTTTTGGAAACTATACAAGTACACCAAAAATAAAAAAAATTCTGAGACATAATGGACCTTTAAAGAATGATTTAATGGTGTTTTACTTGAGAAGGTCTTAACCTATCAATATTCCTTGTATGTACATTTGAATTTACTGATTTTTTTTTCGATCAAATGGTCGCTTCGTTTGATTTGATTAGTTTATACGAATTCATTTTAGTTCGAATGTGTTTGACGCTATAGGCTTATTGAAAAACTTTCGAATCCGTTCCAGGAACAAACCAGTACTAAGCAATGAATGTAAAAAAATCTTGCACAAAGGAACAACATTTTGTCCCAGACGGGGTTTGAACCCATGCCGCCAGCAATCCTTAGATTACTAGTACGATGGGTTAACCACTCAGTCACGCCGCCACTTAATTTGATTAAAAGAAAAATGAACACAGAGGCTGTATTACACCGTATACTACTTATATAGCTTACGCGTGAGCTGTATACGTTGACTGCAACACCGTATACACCATTTATCACACACCCGTGCCGATTTTGCGACTCCATAAATATGGTATTACACGGCCGTGCATATATTTTGACGTGACGTCATTAGCGTTAAACAAACATAGTATATATACACCGTATACAGCTTACACTGAATACAGTTTACCGTTTGCCGTATACGTCAACAAGAGGCTGCATATCACCTTATATAGGTTATCTTAGTCAGATGACCAAACTGGTCGTCATACCAACTTTTTCGTCTTGGCTACGACTTCGCCTGCACCTACGACCAAGACTACGATTTTACGACTGCTAGTTCGGCTTCGACCACCGCTACGACTTCTACAACTTTACAGACTGCGAGTATAGCTATGACTATGACGACGACTACCAAAATTACAAATTGTACGACTGCGAGTATGTTTACGAGTATGTATTTTACGACTTCAAGTACGACTACGACCCCGAAGATAACGACAACTTCGACCGAGAATACCACTTTTTCGACTTCAGCAACGACAATAATTTCCAAAAGTATGCCGACAACTACAGTCAGGATTTCGACAACGGTTACGACTCCGACTAAAATGACTTCGCCGACAACTACGGCCGCAACCACGACAATGGCTAGAAAGAACTACGGCTACAACTTCGGCTACGACTATTATGACTTCAAATTATTATCTACTACGATAATGACCTCAGCCACAAGTATTCTACCAATAAAACTACAACTTATAGGGCGACTACAAGTACTATGACTTTTTGACTCGATTACGGTTTATAATTATGACTGCTTCGACCTTTTGACTACGACAACGACTACTTCGATAAACGACCACGACTTCGACTTTTATAATGTCAAAAACGGTTATGACAATGACGGCAACGATTACACCTCCGGCGAAGAATACAATTACTACGACCTGTACGACTAAGAATACGATCACGACTACACCGACGGATTCAACTATGATTGCAGCTGCAACGACAACGACCATGACTGCGAATTTTACCATTTTAATTAAGACGTCTGCAAATACAGATTCGACAACATCTACCGCCATGATTACTTCACAACAGTACTGTTTTTACGACGACTTAGCATAAAACTGTAATTTTAGAAATATATGGGAAAAGTAAGCATATTTAGATACCTAGAAACAAAATATTACAATTGGATACTATCTGATTTCATAAAATATTTGAAGATCCATCAAGGTTGAGCAAGGGATTTCGGGATGGGGAAACGCAGATTTTCTAAAGAACTAGTCAATTGTAACCATTGCCCTCCCGCGACCCGGGGGAGTGCAGAAGGCAAAAGCCGTGTTCTACCCTTTTGGCTGTCCCGGCACTGCGGGGAATAGGAAAAGCAAAGCATTTTAACCAAGAAAAAGATAGAATAGACGTAAAGCGGGGCACATTGAGGTAATTTTACGACAAGATCTTTCCCACATAACGCAGGCTTCATCTATAAGTCATTATCTATCTTTCTTTATATGGGATTCGCTCGACCAAAGCCAATTCCCGCTATTGTCCGAGTTTTTGGTCAGTGATTATAAATGGCTAAGTACTGCATAAAAAGACAATTAATGAAGGAAAGACCAAAACTTTAGCTCACCTGAGAACGAAGCCAGAAGCGTTGGTAATGACGTTGTAAGTGCGTATTATCAAGAGTACGTCTGCCCGAAAAAATGTACGTAATATATGTTACGTCATACGACGATTCAATTTTCTGATTGGCCAAAATGGCGTCGTTGAAAGTTGACGTTGAACATATTTTCCCGCCTTTGGCGTGGCCAACCGTCTATAGAAAGATCAGTTGGTTTTGTTCATATTATATTTTAATCAATCCTTTTAAACACTACTATTCTTTTAAAGTTCATATATTGTTGAACAATATACTATTGTTTGAACATTGCTTTAAAGATCCTGTAATACAATTATGTATGGTTTTATATCACAAATATGATGCTCAAATTAACATTTATCATTATTGTAATTTCCAAAAATCATTATTTATAAAGATATTACCGAATTTAACATTTCATGTAAATAAAGGGATGTATAATTAGAAATTTATTTTCTATGATGCCTAAGTCAATGTTTTCAATAAGAAATGAATACATATATTTCTTTGAAAATTGTTTTAAGCATAATTATATACATAATTATATAAAATTTAATTTAAGTGTGGCATAGCCAGCCCGCTCAATCGGTTAGAGCGCGAGACTAGTGATCTCGACATTGTGGGTTCGATTCCAGGGCTGGCCAACTAAAATTACTAATCAGTCTTTCGGATGAGACTTTAAATCGAGGTCCCATGTATGAGTGCTTAAACACTTGGCACGTTATTTAAAGAACCAGGAGAAGCTTCTGAAATTGGGGCACCTTTCTGTATCTGTATCTTGAACTATCCTCCAAAAATCTAAAATGACTAATACCTTTCTGGAGGACTTGCCCATATGGGCAACCGGTGGAGAGTATAAATAAACTCAAATACACACACATGGTATTCAACCTCAATTATAACATACAGGATCTTTCATTCTTATCCTGAATTATGTAGGTACATAATCATTTACAATAATTCTTGATTGATCTAATTTCTTCTCTATGTGATGGTTATAAACTGGTTTTCGACAGTCAAGAAATGTTACAGTAAAACTAAACAGATTTTTCATGTTCACCATCTTGGTTCCTATATTTCGACTTTTCGTCATCGTAATTCCGTATTTTCGATGTTTTGAGTTATGTATGTTTCGAGATGGCCCTAACGGGACACCGTATAGAGCGATTTGACAGTAACCTGTCTAGATGTGGCTATTGCTTACAGAGCCGAACAAAGTAAAAACGGCTAAAAGTGAACAAAAACACAGTAACTGTACTTTCAAGCAAAATTGATTTTGATTTCCATTACAAAAGTTCACGAAAAACAAAAGCAAGTAGAAAGCAAAACATGCCGATTGACATGCTACAATAAATATTCAAAGTTTGATTATCACAGATTCAAAAGGTGTGTTTATAATAATAATAATAATAATAATAATAATAATAATAATAATAATAATAATAATAATGATGATGATGATGATGATGATGATGATGATGATTTATATAAATAATAATAATAATAATAATGCATAAAATTAATAATAACAAATGAAAAACACGTTATTATAGTAAACACAGTAAACACAAATGTGTAAAAATGATGAATGTATAGAAGTACATGTACTTTATCTAATTAGTTATAAACTAACACCAGTTGTCATACCATAGTCCAGTCTAGAGCTAGTCCCTGACACCTTTGTGGGTAAGTTTAATGTAAGATTCCTACAATTATATAATATTATAATTCTAGAGCCATGAAACTAAAACAAATGGAAAAATATCCGTTCGACATGTAATATTTTATATTAAACATCTTTAGGAGATGTACATACAAGTCAATTATTCTTTATATATTGAATAAGCGCTCGTATTATTTGAATTAGTTTTCTTTGTGCAATAATAAATCGTAGAGAGTTCTGCGCTTCTAATAATCTAAAACCCTATCCTTCCCACCAACATAAAATAGATAATGTATTTTACTTTCGTAATGTTTTAAAGCGGCCTTCAGTTTTTCCAAAGGTTAAATATGTTATTTTTAGAAAAATCGTTTCATATAATTGTCAAATTAAAAGAAATAAAGCAGCATGACTTGAGATGAAGGAAAATATTTCAAGAAACCAAACTTGTGAAAATTGTATTAAGATTTTAGGCGGAGTAGAAAGATTCAAGATACAAGTAATAATTTACATGTTATAAAAGGTGAATTTTTCATAATGTGTAACTATATTTGTACTGCGTTACTAACGCAGTAAGGGCATTTATTGGATATTTGACAGCTTTTCTGTAATAAACGTGGGTTGTAAATGTCATTGATAATGTGTACAATTATTCCTTTTGGTTACTGTACAATAAAATACGTCAAAATTTTCATGAAAATAAGCATTAATCTGGAGGCGTGCTGTTTTAAGGTTGAAAATACATAAACAATAGGGAAAGCCATTGATATCCGCTCTCTGTATTTTAAATATAGGCTTACCAGTGATATACCAGTGATAAAATACACTTGTCCGAGATAAAATAACTGAAATACTTAGTTTTAAACAACACAGAATTTTCCAACAGAAAATAAAAGCTGAAGGCCGCTTTAAATCTGCATGCCTCCAGATAAGCCAAAATATCAAATTTGAAAAAAATGTTCTAAGAATTAAAAAAAAATGTAAAAGGATTGAAGATTTTAGTAATTATCTATATGCTATATGCAATAATTGACTGATTTTGCAGTATTTATCACCATATCTCTACTGCGTTAGTAACGCAGTAAGGCCTATTTTTTGCATATGTTTGCCTTTTTTTGGTAATTTTCGTGCATTGTAAGTGCCATTTGCAATGTGTAAATAAATATCTTTGTTCACTTTCCATGAAAATTAGAATGGATTCTGGAGGTATGCTGCTTTAAGTTAAAGTCACTGTTTCCGGTGTTACTTGTGAGGTTAGAAACCATTAACCACCCGACCAAATGAGCCCAAATGTTATACAAAATTATAATGCTTCTGTAGAGACCATAGTCTTTATTGTTATATTGAAATCACGTGACAATATTAATCACGTCATAGTCTGAGGATCCGACATCTGCTTATCGGCGCTTGCTATATCTTCCACGTCCACGGCCACGACGTCCCGGTGATAATTCAAAATACAGAAAATCCTGAAATTATAATCAAACAAAAATTTTGATATTTAGATAAATATGCTTGCCTTCCTTTGGACATTCAAAATATTTACTTAAAGTCTTTATTTCAAGAATTATATCAGTATCTTTAAAAGCTGTCTTTAAGTCACCAGCCTTAGATTAATCCTTGTTTACAGACAGAAGGAATAAAACACAACTTACAATTGTCAAGAATGTGTTTGATTTTTAACACAAATACGTTATAAATGTCCTATGGTTTTTGTGTAAACTATTTAGTATTTGTACGTATCTTAACTTACTTTTGCGATATTTTGGTTTTCAATTTTGCCTTTTGGCCGTTTTTTGTTTCGGGATTTCGTCTTTTTTCTATTTTAAGACAAAGCCATGCGTAATGATTCTTTAAAATGCAGAATGAAAAGTAAATAATCGATAACAACATATGAGCCGCGCCATGACAAAACCAACATAATGGGTTTGCGACCAGCATGGATCCAGACCAGCCTGCGCAGGCTGGTCTGGATCCATGCTGGTCGCAAACGCACTATGTTGGTTTTGTCATGTCGCGGCTCATATATATTCACAACAGCACCGGTTTGAAATAAAAGGTGGCTAGTGGTTTCTTACTATGAGGAATGTTGCTCCAAATAAGAGCGCCTTCTGTTTTACGTCTAGATTCATCGGGACTGAAAATGATAATAATTGGCACTGATTTACACATTGTTTATAATTTGGCTGTCTAATAACCCCTCCCCCGCGAACATATTTATAATTCACCTATTTATAGAAAGACGTTTCAGTCCTTCGGTAGTTCTATTTAAAATGGAATAATTCGCCGGTACGTTGACTACGAAGGAAATGCACGTGATATTGACTCCAGTGAAAGTCGAATTTATTCTGTGTATAAGAAATTACGTTCATAAATAGTTCAGAAATATTGGTTTATCGGCTTATAAAGAACAAAAGAACAGGTCTTAAATTTCTGAGATATAGAGTAAAAAGAGTAAAAACATAAAATGATCGCAAAAAAAATCTAATGACATTTCCTTAATGTATGTCACTAAAGTCACTAAAAGCTAAATATCATTTCATTTTATATGAAGCTCTAAAATACAATTCTAGGGTCAATGTTACCAAACTAAAGAAAGAGAGGAGCCAGGACAGGGACATTATAAGTCCAAAACCCTGATCTTTGAAACGGCCGATCGATTTCTTTGGTTAATACAGAATACTCGGCCATGTCGTCACCGATTCTTTATTGTAAAACTATATCCCATTAGGGCGTTATCATACTCACAGTTTAGACTAAATGTGTCGGCTGTCGAAAACATTTCTTGCAGATCTTGAGGAGCTAGCTTCACAATTTTTCCAACATCTGATTCACCCGAAGAGATCTTCGATGAAAAAAGAAAATAAACTTTACATTTGTGTTGCATTCTTTCTTTCTTTCTTTCTTTCTTTCTTTCTTTCTTTCTTTCTTTCTTTTTTTTTCTTTCTTTCTTTCTTTCTTTCTTTCTTTCTTTCTTTTCTTTCTTTTTTTCTTTTTTTCTTTCTTTCTTTCTTTCTTTCTTTCTTTCTTTCTTTCTTTCTTTCTTTCTTTCTTTCTTTCTTTCTTTCTTTCTTTCTTTCTTTTTTTCTTTCTTTTTTTTTCTTTCTTTCTTTCTTTCTTTCTTTCTTTTTTTCTTTTTTTTTTCTTTTTTTTTTTTTTTCTTTTTTTTTTTTTTTTTTTTTTTTTTTTCTTTTTTTCTTTCTTTTTTTCTTTCTTTCTTTCTTTCTTTCTTTCTTTCTTTCTTTCTTTCTTTCTTTCTTTCTTTCCTTCTTTCCTTCTTCTTTCTTTCTTTCTTTCTTTCTTTCTTTCTTTCTTTCTTTCTTTCTTTCTTTCTTATCTTTCTTTTTTTTTCTTTTTTCTTATTTTTTTTCTTTCTTTTTTGATTTATGTATTTAATTTTGGCATATGACAAAGAGGGATGAAGGTTTGGGAATATATTTTCTTTCGTAATAACCAGGGGTTGGGAGGGGGAGAGTCATTATAACCATGTTCGTTATAAGTCAGCTTCAAATAACAAAATTATATTTAATCCCATTGACTTACATTAAAATCTACGTCACAATGACAACCTTGACAGATACAGCCAGGACCGGATATAACAAGAACTTCATTATCGTCTGCATCCATTATCGCAAATAGTGGTGTACAGAATGATGGTCTGAAATAAAAATGAGCCGCGTCATGACAAAACCAACGTAGTGCGTTTGCGATCAGCAAGGATCCAGACCAGCCTGCGCATCCGCCCAGTCTGATCAGGATCCATGACCCTATTACAAGTAGAGAAACTGATAGCGAACAGCATGCTCAGTCTGGTCTGGATCCATGCTGGTCGTGAACACACTATGTTGGTTTTGTCATGAGGGGGGGCCCCTCAAATAAAAATTTTGGGCTAAAATATTTTTTTATAAGAGATAAAATTTAAAATCCCAAAAATCCCCTTTCTTACGAAAAAATAAAAATAGAAACTTTTTAAATTTTCTTTGTAACGCTTTTTTAAAATCAAATTAAAAAATTTTGCACTGATGAAGGAAATATACCCCGAAACGTTTGAAATTTAAAATTTTAAATTACAAAATTTGTTCGTGTTTGTGTGGCTTGTCTGATTATTTGATTATTTCTTATGTAATGACATTTATAAAGTATAACACAAAACAAAACAAGCAAAATTGATTATTTAAATAAATAAATACTCGAAAACTCGTTCCAGGTTGAAATATCGCTTATAGTTTTGTTTAAAGTGAGTCTGTAGCATGAAACAAAACAAAAACGAAATGAATATTCAAATAAATCAATCAATCAATCAATCGACCAATCAATAACTCAATAAATAAATAAATAAATTAATTAATTAATTAACAAATCCAAATTAATTAATTAATTGATCGATTAATTAATCAATTAATTAATCAATTAATAAGAAATAATATAAAGAAAGTAAGTCTGAAGCATGTCATTTTAAGGTAACGAAATGAGTAAATAAATAAATAAATAAATTATTTAATTAATAAGCATGTTAGGGTTATTTAAAGGTAACGGTATTTTACTTTCGTTTGACGTAGCCGATGACGGTGCCAACAGGTGCTTCCACATTAACTCGATGAGCGCAGCATCCAATGCAAGAAAAACATGGATAACTAACGCACCGGAATACCCGATCCATTCTGATAACCTCCTGAAATATTGACGTTATATGACTTAAAGGCACATTATGCCTAACAAATCCATATTTTTTAATTCTTAAGAAATATAAACATTCAAATAATGGATTGAGTGCACGTTAGATGTTTTACAACTGAACTGAAAAAAGAACATGCAGTGAAAACATTTTTTGGGCTTCCATACAAAAATAGTAATTCACTATAATCAAATCAATTGCCAACATAACTTCAGACGCAAAAGATATTTCATGTATATAGCAAATGATTATATTTTTGGAAACAAGGTAAAAAATAAACAAAAAGTGGCATTTCTGAGGCTTTGTGGGCCTTTAAGATCATGTAACGTATCAACATTAAGTTTTAGGGAAGATGAATTTAAATTTTTTACTTGATTTGGGTAAAGTTCATTTGAGGAATTGAGAAATATGTATACAGTCGTCATCATCATCATCATCATCATCATCATCATCATCATTATCATCATCATCTTGTTGAACTTAAATTGAATTTAGTTTGTCGATGTGAGTCCAACACTCAACTCATAATTTTAACTTTTTTCAAGAATCATTATCATTTACTATTAATTATCACATGCATTATTTATCATTCATAAAAAGACATACACTGGTTGGTATAGCAACAGATATTAAAAGATCACTTACGTTGTTCAGGTTGTCTGTCACGTGCATGATAAATCCTCGGTTAGCTCTACAACATTGCCTGTGGCACGTGTCCGACTCTAGAATCATATACAAAACTCTTTCAATTAGTCAAAAAATAAATACGTTAAGCAGAGCTATTTCGATAATTTGACCAAAAAAAAACACACACACACACAAACCTAGCAGCTAAAATGTAGTACGTCTATCTTTTAAAATTAGATTTAGCAAACAACGCAACCTATATCGTTATCGCCTTTTCGTGTTGTCCAAAGCCAAACGGCGCGCTGTCGTCTTGTCGTACTGTCCCAAGCGAAGCACGCAAAACGGCGCGATGTCGTGCGGCGTATTGACGCAATGTCGCCCTGTCGCTTGGCTTGCAAGCCAATACTTTGATCTTAACAGAGCGACAATATGACATCGCGACAACACGCGACACGACAAACCGTCGGTTGGCGTACATCTTTAAATACAGGACAACAATACGAAAGTCCGACAACGCGCCGTTTGGCGCTTTGTTTTGTTGTCGCTAGCGCTAACACGACGCACAAAAGCGTTCCAAATCAGCCACCAAACACTACAGTGTTGGAACAGTACGGCTAGATGTTTTTAATTTGTATACGTTTTTGTCGTCAAATTATGACGTCATCTTCAACGAAAGCTCAAACGTGTGAGGATTGGATGTCATAAGCCACTAGAAGTGCTTTCGTTTCCGTATTCCAGTAAGACATGTTCATGTTCTTTCGTTTTCTACTTGTTTGTTTTATTACTCCGCTTTCTCTTGTTAATATAATGATAAATAATGCATATGAAAATCGTCTGGTGACGTAGGTAGCTGTATAATTAATATATTGAAATTCTTTTTGAGTATTTATCGACCATCAAAAACAACATTTCAACGACAAATTACCTTCGTTTGCTCTGTAAACTTGTTGCCCGGATGCGTTGAATATGTTGTACACATTTTCTTGCTCTGCATGTGCCACCACTGTAAAGAAGTAAAAAGAATAACATTCGATAATAGAAGAAGCTCTATGTTAGCATTTTCGTTTGGTTAAAAAGAACGGTAAGATTCAACTCATAAGAATGCTACAACATTCAAGCATCAAGAACAAACAGTTGTTATTGAACGTGCGACAACATACACGCATTCACTATTCATAAAAAATCCCTTGGTTTATACATTTTTGCAGGTTTTGAACGGCTGATAATATTAACCTAACCTTCATCTTTCAAGCATTAAATGTTCACAGAAGAGACCGATCGTACAAAATTGAAAAAGGTTTATACATTAAATAGAGGATATTGAATGAGTGTAAGTTCAATACTGAATTGATTGCACGAGTTGAATAAAATTATATTATGCGAGCCCCTGGCGAGCATGTTATTAGTTTATTCAACGAGTGCAATAAATTCAGTAATGAACTTACACGAATTTAATATTCTATTTATCACATACCCAAAATAAAGACCGTTTAAAGTGAAATAAGAGTCATTTTCCGTTGACGCGCCTTCAGTAGAACGCTAACATTTAGCGCGTCTTTACACTATGTTTGCATAACGCTAATAACGTCACGTCAAAATATATGCACGGCCGTGCAATACCATATTTACGGAGTCGCAAAATTGGCACGAATGTGTGATAATATACATTATTAATAATATAAATGCAACAAGTATATGAGAAACTAAACATTAGAAAATTTGAAAAAGAAAAGCTATTTCTATTTATTAAATAAACAGTACACTCACTAGTGCTTTGTTAATTTATATCATTATTTATTTTATCGAAGTACCGGTATGTCGAAATAAACTTAAGTTTGTAGATTTTTCACACTATCAGGTACAAACTGTACGTATTTTGTAATATGGTAGCACACTAACATGGTTTTCAAATCATATATCAATTGTGCTACAAGATATAACGTTTCAATATAATTACCACGTGCAAACATTTATAAATAAATGTCTATAGTAGATATATAGTATAACTATTTTAATGTACAGGGGAATACAAAATGGTTTAACAATGACTACCCTTAATTACATAGATCTATATCATATACATGCCCTCAAATAATACTTAAAATGTGATTCGTGTTTTTCTCCTCTTATAATTTAAACAACTAATGAAAAATTGATTGATGTAAGGGTCGAATTAAATCTAAATGCCTCCAGATGAGGCAAAGTATTTCAAGAAAATTAAACTAGAGAAAAATGCATGAAGATTCCCCAGTTTAACATTACAATTTTTTACATCCGAAATATCACAAATAATTATTTGCATGAACCTTAAAATCTCAAAGAAATGATAAAGAAAAAAAAAACTCAGCTGGTCAAAAGGTTTGAGAATTATATGCAAAATCATACCAATCATGTGATATGATTGATCTTATAATTTACTTTACTTACTTTCTATTATATTCGGCTGTTCTTTGATGACTAATTTATCAACTTGTGCCAAGTATTCAAGTCCCGGGGGACAGCCCAAACTTCCAGCTGAGGGCTTAGGCATCCATACAGCGGGAGGGGCCTGTAAACCTGCCAAGATGAAATATTTGAATAAATAACGATAATATTGAAATAAGTACTATATGAAATGACAATTACACGATATTTATGTTTTCCTCTCATTTTAGACAAGATTTTCATAACTTTAGATATTCCAGTCTTCAAACTGCCAAAAATAAAATGGAACGAAATGGTTGAGCTCATGTATTCGACATGTTATAAAAAAAGTGTTAAATTTGCCAATATATATCATATACAGAGTTCCATATACGATCGTACAATGTGTCAACTCATGTATTGGATATGGTATTTGATTAAAGACAAAATTACCCGTTTGACCGCCTGTGTCGTATATGGCCGCTTGCCCCGGGACCGTCACTCCAGGTTGTGTTGTCACTACAGGCGACACTATAAGAATTCAAAATGATAATAAAATATAATTAGGTTTTTTTTTCATTTTTCTATCGAAAAATATTTTCGAATAAAAATGTGAGCATGATATACTGCAATCTTAACAACTAATGTTCGTTTCGCCGATGCATTTACATATCATTTAAAGCCATTTACATGTATTTGCACAGGGTAACCACTGACGGTCAATCAACTTGATCGTCGCCAATGGCTCGAAGTCCCCGACCAAGTTCGACAATTCGACTAATATTTGCAAACCGGACTCGCTACGATTTCAACCCGGCAGTCAATCAGTGATCTCTACACAACCAGTCCGATTCGAACGGGACTCATACACGATCCTTTTTACTGCCCGATAAGCGCCAAACAATTTCTTTGCGATTTGTAAAACAAAATCAATCTTTACTCAATAAGATATTATCGGAAGATAGTAACGTAAATCTCTGATCAATTTTTATTAAGAATAAACAAAATTTCAGCAAGGAAATCAAAGCGATGCAAACCAAGGTAAACCTTCCAGAAGCCAATTGACAGGCGAGCAAACCAGACTAGTCCCTGGTCGTTATGATTTAGCGAAGTCGAGGTGATCGGGTCGATAGTTTGCACCTAGTCTGGATTACCTGCCCTTTTCTCTACGTTCAATAGTACTAAATCTTTTAGTACGACGGGAACCAGACTAAGTTTGCACCCTGAATTTATAAACTGGAACACACTAATGATTTAACAATTAAATAATTTTTTTTATGTTTTTTAATTGCATACTTCACGTACTAAAACTTCTATAGAGATGATACCTGACACAAAGCAAATAATCGGATTAATGTATTGATTAAATAACAGTATGATCACGTGGTTTAACTTAAATAGAACAGTACCTTGATTCATCTTTGGTGACAGAAATTGGACACTGAAAAGAGAAAGAAAATTTATGATCAACCTTTAAAAAGCACTTTTTTGTTCATTTAAGTTATTCGTACATCGCTATTCCTAGAGTCCCTCAGCCATGTCCCCTCAAATTCAAACATTCCCGAATGCCCGTAAAGTTCATTCAATCCAATTCAATTCAAACGTTTATTGTAATAAAGTAAATTCATACTTATAGCAAAATATAAATGATAGAAGAATGTATGTTTACATGAAATTTTCGAGAAGCGTAATATTTAAAGAAATATAAATATAGTGCCTTAGAGAGAATTCGACTGTTGGCTAAAAGACGAAACAATGCAACCATTTTTCAGCCTTTTGTGTTATTAACCAATTCGTTTGCAGTGTTTTGTTGTTGTTCGTCTTCGTTATTATCACAATTTAATATTAATAGACGGAGCAAATAATGAAAAAAATCACAACAATAACTATCGTTTATTGGCATTTTAAATGATTTAAGAAATTTTTAATAATGAAGTACCTTTCACAAATATCGGTAATCCTTCAATACAACATGGTACCTAGACAAGATTGTTTCATAACATTAACATAATTTGACAAAGGACAAAGTTAATTATAGAACACGATTAATTTGAAATGTATACCTTTTAATACTGCGCTACAAAAATATGTTTTGAAAATGGCTTGTTAAGTATTATAGCCAAATAAAAATAAAAAAGCAAGTGCGCATTATCTAAGCACAAATTTATTTCAGCTCTTTGAAGTGTTCAAGACTGAATACCGTTTATGCCATCGCTAGTGGGCGCGAGGGATGTTGTATTCTTCCTAAACCCTCATGAATAGAAATGTTATTTACAAACTTTATCCATTCTTGAATGATATAAGAAAAGAGAATAAAATATACTAGGCATGAATTATAACTAACTTTATTATTATTTTTATTATAACTATTACTATTACTATTACTATTATTATTATTATTATTATTATTATTATTATTATTATCATGACTATAATTATTTTTTTTTTATTATAATTCTTATAAATATTATAATTATTATTTTTATTATTATTTTTATTATTTATATTACTTTATCATTATTTTTATTATTATTATCATTATTTTTATTATCATTATTATTTTTATTCCTATTTATTATTTTTTTTTTATTATTATAATAATAATTATCATTCTTACTATTATTATTATTATTATTTTTATCATTATTATAATTATTATTATTATAATAATAATTATTATAATTATTATTTTTATCAATATTATTATTATTTTTATTCCTATTTTTTGTATTATTATTATTATTATTATTTTCATTATTATAACAATAATTATTATTATTATTATTATAATTATTATTTTTATCATTATTATTCTTATTTTTATTCTTATTATTATTATTATTATTGTTATTATTATTATTATTATCATCATTATTATTTTTATTCCTATTTTTTGTATTATCATTATTATTATTTTCAATATTATAACAATAATTATCATTATTATTATTATTATGATTATTTTTATCATTATTATTATTATTATTATTATTATTAATCAAAATATTATTATATTATTACCATAATCATCATCATCATCATCATCATCATCACATCATTATCATCATCATCATCATCATAATCATCATTATCATCATCATTATTTTAATTATTATTATTATTTTCATTATAGTTATATCTACTACTACTACTTCAACAACAACAACAAAAGGAATTACATTTATAAAAATGTTTCACTACTTTTTTTAACAAGTATAGCCAAAGTATACGTACTGATTTCTATTGTTCAAAAAAGGCATACATACAATCCGACTGTCGTTAAAAAGTACGGAATACCACACGGAACATATTATATTTGAGATACAGTGTTGTAGTAGTTTGCGGAGAAAAAAAAGATTTTATGATGAACATTTTCTCCCTTTGTTAATGACTTTGTTTGAATAATTTAAATGTATTCAATTTGTATTACCTAAAGACAAAACGTTTATTCACTCTTTACGATACATTTTCCTCTCTATACAATATAAGCATATATAAAATTTCAATCGAATACTCGTCAATAAAATTATTTATACCTGATTTATATAGAAAAAAGCATAGTTCAAAGGTTAGTGGGCTTTTTCGTTTGAAATTATTTCCACGTTTTATTATCATACATTACAACACTGTAACAATTCTTCATGCGACTATAATTCAGGGAAATCTGTCTGAATGTAAAAAATGTTAATCCGGTCACATTTCTTTTCACTTCTTTCTTTCTTTCTTTCTTTCTTTCTTTCTTTCTTTCTTCCTTTTATTATAATTATTAATGCCTCGTTTTGGAGGATGCAAGAACGGCCTCCCATAATTCATCACCCGGATAAAGTAAGTTTCAATTGATCGGTTCTAATTAATATCCAATTAATATAATGTAACGAAACATACAATATATGCATAAATATCAAAGTAAATGCAATGCCATTGAAGATGAAAGAAGATGCTCGTCCAAACACTCTAAATGCCCATGTGAATCTATCACAAATTTATCATATTTTGAAAAAGACTTTAATAATGAAATGTCAACAATTAGTTCATGACCGATTTACAATATTGTCATATTTATTTCATATAACCCTTACTATAAATAGTCCTATGTAATGTAAAAAATGGTTATCTCCCCCGACGTTTAAGAAATTAGAGATCGATACCGAAATATTTGCATTGTGTCCTATAGAAAATGGCTGATCAAATAATGTGTTTCATAGATAGACTATCGAGTATCAAATAACGTGTTATAAGGTTAGATATATAGGTTAAAAAATACCTGGTTAGAAATAATAGTTTTACAGGTTTCGGTTGGATAGCTAATATCAAAAGGATCTCATAACTTACTGACATATATTTCCGTGTATATTATAAGACACATCGGTGTGTGAATATACTTAACTTAAAATAAAAGGTAAGTAGAATTTGTAAGTGCCTTTATTGTTGTTTTTTTATATTCTAATATGTACTTGTTGTTAACATATAAATAAATTGATATAAAACTTTGAAACGTTGATTTATTGACAAAGTTCATGTGTACGAAGGGTTAAACACATGTATCAAGTTGTGTCTATATCAATATGCTATAAATATATTTGCTCGCCCATATGGTTCAGTCCGGTTGGAAAAATAACATGCATATATAATTACGATAGGTATGTCGTTATTTTATAAATTTATGAATTAAAATAAGTAAAATATACAGAAACTGTCAGAATTTCTCTTTATTACGATAAATAATATGTTCATTACAATATTGAAATATTATTAAAGGATTGAATTTTTATTATTGTAAAATAGCATACAGTGCAACCTCCATAAAACGACCACTCGTAGAGCACTTTACTTCTTTACAGCAAATGTTTCAATAATTACTTCACACTATATTTAACTTCTCTAGAGCAATACCTGTTTGCAATAACCAAAATTCATTATTGTAAAAGAGCATACAGAGTAACCTCTACAAAACGACCACCTGTAGAGCAATAACCTTCATACAGCAATAGAAATTAAGACTTCTTGCCATATATTTAACTTCCTAACAGCTACACCTGGCTACAACGGTCAAATATGTATCCTGCCAAAAGATGCTTCTTTGAAGAGGTTGTACTATATCGGCTCCAGTAATGACAGTGTAAATATTTGTGATACGGATCAGTAGCTAATTTCAAAAAAAAAGAATTGTCATTGTCTTTGTCCACTATTCTATTTTTAGAGGACACGCATGAAGGCTCATCGTTTATTATATCAGCACGAAAAATGGAGAAGTCCGTATATCCGCCTCAACCGCCGCCTTCATACGGTAATATTTTATCACATATTTAGAATGCTATTTTTCATTTTGGTTATCTGTTTTACCGAAGAATGCGTTTTAGTATCAAGTTAAGTAAATTAAAGTATTAGAAAGTCGTTATAATGCGGATAAAGGCCTCAAACGCACCAAAGGCGTAATGATGCAAATAAAAGCGTTATAACGTAATTTAAACAGGGCGTATTAATGCGAATAAAAGCGTTATAACGCAAACAAAGGCATACTTGTAGTAACACAAAACAAATGGCGAAATAACGCAAATGAAGGCGTTGTAATGAGAATTCCATAGTGATATTATAACGCCCTCGTATTTATACCTGTTATAGAAACTTAACGAAAAGATACATTGTTTTTGTAGTATACTAGCTTGAATTGAATCTAAAGTATTTTCCTAAATTATAGCATAAAATCGGCTATTTTTCCCTCTTTTGCCCATGTTATAACGGGACCAAAACCATGTGTTAACAAAGTCACGCGCCCTTGTTATAGCCCGGTTTCACCTATGCGCAATACATACAGGGCCCAGTAAACAAACAAACAAAAAATGACGATTTGGCCTGTTTGCCGAAGAGTCATGCGCTCTTGTTATATTGAAATTTATTGATTCGAGAGGGCCTCAGTCGCATATTCAAGTAACTATGCCGGAAAAACGGCGTATAGACATCGGTGCTAATCTTGGTTGTCGCCCTTTCTAAGAAACGGACAGTTGTCAATGTAAACAAATACAGTAGAATCTACCTGTCATTCAGTTTAACACTCCGATTAACTTACAAAACTAGATAACACAAAATTAATATGAGAAAATGTTTTTTATTTATGTTAATAAATGTTGATAAATGCTCTTTATATTTCTTTGAGAGAATAATGCTTAGTGCCTGATTTTTTTATAAACTTGTTTGCTTGAAAAAAAAACCGATTCTGATGTCACTGATCTTTTTTCTACCGTCAATCTGAAATCATTCTAAGAATTTCTGAGGGTCATGTTTTGTCTTGGGTAGAGGGTAGAGTAATGTAACGTTTTTTTTTCTTGAGATAATAAATCTCCAAAGGTCAAGCTTTGTTAAATCAATTAAAATTCAAAATTTCGTTCGGTTCCGAGAATTTTCCAAGTTGTTGGCCCCGGAAAAATGAAACGCATACGTAAAACATAGAATTGGATAAATACCGTCCAAGCACAAGTCTTTAATGTAATTGTGTTTTGTATAAACTATACATCACAAATCTGTTTGAAAATTTTATGCTATAATAGCGTCAACGCACGTTTATTTCGTGTTATAAAGTCTGCAGAGTCCCTCGGAACTGTTGGAGCCCTCGCCCTACCGGGCTCGGGCACCAACCGTTCCTCGGGACTCTGCAGACGTTATAACACGGAAAAACGTGCGTTAACCCTATATTTGTATGGTATTTTTTACACGAGCTACTTACAGTTTAATTTTTTTATAGAATTGCATGTTCTTCTTTTCATCAGATTCCCTACCAGGAATAGTGCAACAGCAACCGTTGGCCCCACCACCGCCAGGTAATGGTTAAGAATTACACCAATCTACCGCTACAAATGTTGTAGACATTGCGAAATACATATAAGCCGCGCCATGACAAAACCAACGTAATGCGTTTGCGACCAGCATAGATCCAGACCAGCCTGCACATCCGTGCAGTCTGATCAGGATCCATGCTGTACGCTATCAGTTTCTCTACTTGTTAAAGGGTTTGTAAGCGAACGGCATGGATCCTGATCAGACTGCGCGGAAGCGCAGGCTGGTCTGGATCCTTGTTGGTTTCAAACCCGCTATGTTGGTTTTGTCACGGTGCGGCTCAATTATATCTTAATGAAATTTTATTTGTTATAAAAAATCATTTCCTTAACAAGTTACACGCTATTTAATTTTGCATTTAAAATTCTATTTAAAGATGTTGTAGTAAAATTTAACACGTGTTTTGCCACCTCTATTATCCACGTGTGTTTATATATAATTCCCCGACGGTAAATAATTGTGCACGAACTATAAATGCTTTCATGTTTTACATGCTTTTTTAATACTCTCAATTGTAAAGACGGAAAATTCTTGCTATAAATTGGGAAATTTAAGACTGATTTCTTTATTAAAACAATTGATAATTGAATATTAAAGTTTGTTAAGTTGTGTTATACTTTTAATTGATTAAAAGTAAAATTGGAGATGATTGGATTAATAGTTATCATGTTAAGTAAAACTATATTGGAATAGATTATTATTCAAAAGGATATTTGTTTTCTTTCCAATGTCTTAGATAGGTAAATAGAATTAAATGGGGATTCACAATTCCAAATACATGAATAATTATTTGGTTATTTAATTTACACACACTTTTTAAAAGCCCGATTATTTTGTAAAATGTGTATCATATTTGAATTTATTTCTGTCCGATTCCTAGATGTAACCATATAAATATGGTCGTGAACGCAACAGGCCTCTAACCAAAGTCTAACTGATTAAGAGAAAGACACATTGATCAGTTGGCTTCTAATTAACTTCGACTTTGTAGAACATGTGAAAGTTTATATAGGGATATATAAAGTGTATTTTAAAGGGACTCTACTGAGGTCCAAAAACCTAAAAAAAAAAAATTAATTTCTTACATAGATCAACGCGGGTACTTAAAACAGAAAGACCTGCGAAAGATGATGGTGAAATATACTAAAAATGAATTGAAATCGTATTCTGTGCTGTTCTTAGCAAAGCGTTGTACCTAACAAGTTTCAATTTTATGTCATTTTTCTCAATTAGAATAATCATTCTGGAAGAACGATCTGAAATTTAGCTCAAAAGTTATTGGTCTAGACTTTCATCAAATGGAATATTTATCTAAAAATGAAAAAGTATTCCCTGTTCCGTGATATCAAAAACGTCAGAAGAGTCTCTTTAAAGACATTCTGCCATATCCAAATCAAAACAAGAGCCACAAACTAAACCGTTTCTTGATAATTTCAAAAAATATCCGTCTACTTTGAAGTATGTTCATATCTCAATTTTCTATCAAAATTAAGAAAGAAATATTATAACGATTTTAAAGTATTAAAAAACTAGCGTGACTCTTTTCTTTACCATTATCCTGCTAGGTGTAACAGATTTCACCCAAGCGTCCAGTGCAGACCAAGATCAGCCAGCACATCCTTGCCACCCGATCAGGGTCTGCACTATTCGCTATTTATTCAGTGCTTAGTATCGAAACATTCCTTTGTAATGATGAATGGTTTAGTCCAAATTGAAAGATGGACACGTTCGTTCAAGTACGGAAGAGAATTAGAGCCAGGTGTATGTTTTTTATTAACTCGATATTTCGAGTTACTAACTCGAAATTTCGACTTACTAACTCGAAATTCGACTAAGTAACTCGAAATTCGACTTACTAACCCGAAATGTCGACTTTGTAACTCGAAATTTCGACTTAGTAACTCGAAATTTCGAATTACTTATCTTGAAATTTCGACTTAGTTACTCGAAATTTCGACTTATTAACATTACAAGAATGGCCAAAGTTATTTTAGATGGTATAATTTTATAGTAGGCAGTGCCTTTGAACGATGGATATGAGAAACGGGTGCCTGGACAAAAACTATTGAAATTTAACTTAAACTTAGTAATGGCATGTACACACCCGACATAAAAAATACAAGGCGTTCTTCAGACGTTGTATTGTATCCCATCTGGTCGAACATATCTTTTCACTAATCATATTCTTCTCATCCCTGTAAAAAAAACCGATCCTATACTTTACGTGTGGGATATCTGAGGAAAGTATCGCGGTGTGGCCAAAATAGGGCGTGCTGAGGCCTTTGTCAAAATTGTTGGACTGACTATATTTCATGTAAAATCAGATGCTTTTAATATTGTTCCCAACATATATATGTATCACTTTTATCAACTTTTATCAACACAATATGAATCAAAGTATAAGTAAATAATGAATAATGTTACAAAAACATTATTAGTATATAGAAACGTGACAGACTAAGTGGCATATACACGTCATTTAAAACTTATTTAATACATGATATTGCACAGTTTACAATAGGGTGGGTTTTGGACTTTTTGTTTCTCCATATGATGGTTGTATGTGTGCTTAAGAAAAAGAAACACCCTGTTAACAGGGAAATGTGGAAAGTGTGATTTTACATCCCCCCTCCACAAAAAAGCGAAGGATATGTTCAGTATGCGTGGACAATTTGACCCTATAAAATTGTTCTGAAAAATAAATGTTAAAGGTGCTCTGTCAATGTGCAACAACTACACACGAAAGAAAGTATCTTGAATTCAATCCTTGCTTTCACCGGCAACCAATGAAAGTCGTGCAATGTAAGTCGAAATTTTGAGTTACTAAGTCGAAATTTCGAGTTACTAAGTCGAAATTTCGAGTTAGTATGTCAAAATTTCGAGTAACTAAGTCGAAATTTCGAGTAAATAACTCGAAATTTTGAGTTACTAAGTCGAAATTTCGAGATAAGTTACTCAAAATTTCGTGTAAGTATGTCGAAATTTCGAGTTACAAAGTCGAAATTTCGAGATAAGTAACTCGAAATTTCGAGTTTGTAAGTCGAAATTTCGAGTTAGTAAGTCGAAATTCCGAGATTAGTTACTCGAAATTTCGAGTTAATAAAAAACATACACCTGGCACTAATGCTCTTACGTATTAAAGACATGTATATATAGCGTTGTAATAGTTAATAATCTTTATTTTCTGAAGTTATGCCGATGCAAGGTATGTCAGGAATGCCGGGGATGTCAGAAATGGCAGGTATGTCGGGAATGCCGCCCGCACAGATACATTGGATGGCCCGGCCACAAGGTGGACTCACCTGTCCTCCTGGTTTAGAATACCTGAACCAATTGAATCAGCTGTTCATGCACCAAGAGATAGACGTTAGTCCTGGAGGTGTGTAAAATAAATGTACATCTTCTATCTAAGATTCTTTTAAGTGCCCAAAATATCCCAGAAACGCTTTTTATTTTAATTTCCAAAGAGCTTTGTATTTTCTGGTCTTATGTGCTATAGTTTCCAACAAGTTACTAAATGACCAATTACCTTAACCTATATTTTTGCTTTTGTTGCTTTCTGGCTAATAGTACAGTTACAGTCTAACTTGCCCATGCAACCACGTGTATTAAGCGACTTCTGTCTTAAACGACCACTTTAAATTCCCCCCGATCATTTTCTCTCTATATCTTTAATGCATTAAGCGACTTTTGCTCAACGCGACCAGCGACCGCTAATTAGTCACCTAATTGACATCAATCTTTTCATTAAACGACCACTTTTACCTGTCAAGTAATTGTGTTTTTAGAGAACGCCACCTCGTTATGTCACAAGTGTCAGCAATCAAAACACATCAATAAACGTGTGAAAAACTCTATTTCCCATACCGTTTTAGCGTATGCAAATGAAGTTAAGTATACGCGTGACGTGTATTATCCAATAATATCGGATAAACAATGCAACGCTCCGCCCATATTGAGATGGTGTATACGCTTCGCTTGTTGACATTTAGACTGCATTGAATTGACCTTGAACTTGATCAGCCATTAAATTAATCGTAACAAATAGATGTAGTTTGTTTATTTCAAATGAAAAAATGCACAACAGAAAACATCTTCACTAATTAATAGGGTTTTTCGTGTTGGAGACAAGGAAAAACAACGGAGAAGTTAAAAAATTCTGGAAAAAATGTCAAACATGAACGTAATGGATCAAAACTGTTTTGTCAATAAATATCAGAACGTTATTTTTACATTTGCATCCGTTTAGATTGTCGGAGCGTACTTATTATTCAACATTTATAGTAAAATGAAGTTGAAAAACAATCCCATCGAATAACAAAGATGTCATTTATAAATTTTGACTTTTATATCATGCTGACTGTCTTAAGAGACCGTTTCATTAAGCGACCGTTTTTGGTGTTTCCCTTGCCCGGTCGCTTAATACACGTTTGACTGTATAATGATTTAGTATTTTGTATTGAAGTCAAATTACTATTTTGTTTTCATTTCGCTACTTTTATGACAAATAATTACAAATGCAATGCATGAAACGATTATTCAAACGTTTAATTTTCCCTTTCAAAAGAATGAATTTTTTTTTTTCGTTTCTGGGGCATCGTATGCCTTTACAGTTACATAGTAAATGGTAATGTCGTTTCAAACTTTGTACACAGAGAATGCATGCAACAAGCGATGCAACATATTTCTTTATAGGTTTAGTTAATTATTTTCAGGGATGTATGGTCCTGTAGCAAACGCTAACTGGTACAGGATAATGAATGCCAATGGCCAACAGGTGTTTACAGCAATAGAAGGTAAAAATATAAGATAAAAATAAACAAATGATAATCATTAACGCAAACACGATGTTTTTTTGTATAATGCTTAAGACATAAAATCAATTAAAGAATTGGGATTATGTGGCAATCATCAAATGACAACTAAAAGGTCTGGAAATGAATTAAATATTTTCGAGATGGGGTATGACTTTGTCTGAAGTGAAGCTTTAAAAAGGGTTAAGAATCAAATCAGTCTTAATATGCATGACTTCAGTTTAAGGGTATAAAAAACATGTGTACTAGGTGCACCTAATGCATAAATTATCATGCTGTGCATTGCGCGCATTCTCGCGATTAACTATAATTTTTATTGACCCAAATTCTGAAATTAATAGTCAATTTATTATGTTGTTCTTATTATCGTTCAAGCTAACACACGTTGCCTATTCTATATTCATTTTATTAAAACCGTATCGGTCATCTATACAGACTGAACGGATATTTTATTTATCATTGACATTATACATGTATTATTAGTTATAAAGATTTTTGACATGTTATTTGGCTCTTTATAAACAGTTGTTCAAAAAAAAATAACCAGAGCCGCTAGGTGATGGTTATATTGCAAAACAGCCGTTTATATACGGCCATATAACATGTCAGAAATATTTATAACGAATTTATAATACAGCAAGCATCAGTTTTTAGAGAAAAAAACAACAACGAGATTTCTTCATAAATTGACAGCTACTGTGTCTATAAATTTATATAAACGTCACGATTATCCAATGAAAAGATATGTTACAAACGTGCAGATTATAACTAGCTTTATATCTATTTCAGGTCCACCAAACACGAGTGGCTCCTGCGTCTGCCTTCCCGGACAAAGAGGCTACGACGTTCGGATCAAAGACAATATTAACAATGTATGTATTAATATATTTTATTGTGATAAATATAGCTTCAATATGCTCATGGACATGAAGATAACTGACGTTATATAGTATATGGCGTCATAATACTATAAGTTGTAAATATTTTTGACAGGTTATATGGCCCCATCATATAAACGGTTGCTTTCAAATATAACCCGATCTACCAAGCGTTGGTTATATTGCAAACAACCGGTAATATAACCTGTCAATAATTCTTATAACGAATTTATAATATAGCAAACTTCCTTCTTTTAGGAAAGAATTAAATTATTTCATTTATGTGTATGTGTTCTATGTTTAATAAGAGTCCATCCACTCGCTAAGGCACCGCCTCCGTGGTCGAGGGGTTAGAGTCGATGACTTCTAATCCAGGTACCTCTCTGGCGTGGGTTCGATCCCCGGGAGATGCTTTGGTAGTTTAGCGCGGAGGAAGGTTGTCTAGTACTGGTGTTACTCTCCAGGAACGATGAATAGGAAACTACCCGCCTATATGACTGAAATACTGTTGAAAAAGGCGTAAAATGAAACAAACAAACAAACGCTCGCTAAGGCACTAAATGTAGCCTTCGCTGCCGAGTACGGACCCCGGATATGTCATCAATCATGACCTTAAAGGTTTAATTTTAAGCACAAAGTTGTGATAATTTACCTCCATGCAATTTCCATGGAGTATTAGTTTGAGCCAAAATTAGGTCACTGTATGGCGGTCATTACCAACTTAAATGTACAGTAATCTGAGACAATGTGAAAGGAGGTAGCCCTTAAAAGGGCTGTTAGTGCCAAGCAAATGGCCTGTCTTTAAAGCCGTTACTCTGTGCTACGGACTCACGCACCCTAGCACACTTTCCTCATCATCTCTGCCTACTCTGAAGAGTCACTTCTCTCTGTTTTAGTCAGAACATGGGCAGCTTGTCCGCAGGATACAAGTTTAGGATTTCGTTTTTGCGGCGTAAAGTTCTTAAAATCTTTTGCCGACGCATCGTGCGCATGCTCCGAGGGGGGGGGGAGAAGATGATTTGATTAAGTGACAGTTTATATAAACATCAAGATTATCCGACAAAAACGACGTTACAAATTAAAAATATATTATAAATAGATTTGGAACAGTTTTGTTGGTTCGAGAAAGAAAATAAAAGCCTTGCTAGATTTTATATTATCGCACCAAAAGTCACAAAATATAAATGTAGAGCTTTGCCTTAGTTCTTGTGTATTTTGATCTTTCAAAATGTCAACTTTTCCAGGAAGTGATGAGAGTTACACGTGACCCAATCTGCTGCTCGTGCTGTCCATGCCTTGGCTGTGAACACGTGGTCAAAATAGAAGCCCCTGTCGGTCAGGTCATAGGTTATTTTAAGAGCCAGTAAGTTAGTTATTACAATGTTCTCTTAAAGGCCCTTTCTCCCGTAGAAATGTCTTAAAGTTTTCAAAAGGTTGCTTATTGAGCAATTACATGAACCACCTTCTTGCTCTGTCGTTTTTTGTTTTGTTTTTTTTTTTTTTGGCAATAAGTACAATTTTAGTGATTTAGTAATTTGTATGCATATGGAAGTCAAAATACTAATTTGTTTACATTTTTCTATTTCACATATATTTCACATATAGTGCCGTTTCTTCAGATTACAAGCATCTTACATGCACCATTATTTTAATGTTATAAAACTCATCTTTCCCTTTTATAAAGAACTAAAATGTATTTGTTTCTTATGCATAATGTGCCTTTAATAAAGCTGCATGCCTCCAGATGAGCCAAAATATTTCACGAAAATCCACCTTAAGAAAATGCACTAAATTTTAAGAAATTTAAGATCGAAATACTTTTCACCTTGTGAACACCAAAAGTTCATTTACACTCGTTGCTGCGCCACTCGTGAAATATACCTTTTGGTGCTCACTCGGTGAAATATATTCCGATCTTACACTGAACTAAACAAATATCCTCTATTATATATTAATATAATTGTTGGTAATAGTTCATTAAAAAAAACCCATCCGTTTTATTTTTCACAGAAAAGGCTGCGGTGGCATTACATTCACGATTTCAGATGCCGAAGATCAGGTGGTGTTCACTATTGTATTTCCGTGTTGTGCGACCTCCTCGTATCTACAAGAACAAGAATACCAGGTTATCTCATTTCGCTATTTTTATCAGAATAAAAAAATGGTTGTATGTCAGGTTTAACTGTATAAACCTCAGAGTCTTCGAAAAATATTTAGATGAAAGTAGATAATGAAAAATTTACATATTGGACTTTATTTGTACATTATAAACAATTAGCTATCTCTAGTACCTGCATTCTCACTTACACCCCGGCAGAGCCCCGGAAGACGTCCGGGGGATCCGGGAACGACCAGGGAAACACGAACCATGAACCGGCTCTGCTTGGATGGTCCCGAGCGCATCGTGTGTTTAGTTGGGAATTACCGAATTGCTGCCGGGGTAAGTGTGACCACAACAATAATTTCACCCCAGATCGTCTCAGATCATTCCAGAAACTTACCGGGTTGGTCCTGGCTCTGTCGGGTATAAGTGAGACCGCAGCTTTACTGCACACCGTATTGTATTACCGTCGCCAGTGATGACATATTCCTGCAGTATTAGAAACCTTAAATTCACTGATTTCTATAGATAGGTTATAAACTTGGTTTGTATATTTATATTACTTAAATAAGGCCAATGTCATAACATAAACTTACGGTCCATTGACTAGGGATACTATCAGGTAATTTTAGACTCGTTTCCCAATTTTATATGATTTCCCAGTCACTTAAGGTTAAGGGTTGGACTGTGAATTAGGCGACCTTTGTTTAAATTCTCAGACGGTGGAGTTCATTTTCTTTGTACAGAAGTTATCAATTCCTTGCGAAAGTGAAGGAGATTATTCCTGGATAACAGCTGGGCAGACTGTCCAGGAACGATGCGGTGCCTGAACTAAGCTGTGGAATGTATATTCAAGTTGGATTACTGTCATAATACGAAGGGTAAATCATAAATATCACCATGATGAGTCTGCAGAGCTCAATCGGTTCAATCCCTAGACTTGTTATCTCGACATTGTGGGTTCTATTTCAGGGCTCGCCAACTGAAATAACTTGGAACTGTTTCGGATGAGACTTTAAATAGAGGTCCCGTGTATGTGTATACTTACAGAAGCAGGAGAAACTTCTTGTGGCATTGCCCTCTCCTGGTTTTGTATGGTGTCAAGTGGCGGTGGTCCTGTGTTGCTGGATCGTGTGGGGTTTACCTTTATTGAACGCCGACCTTTCATGTTGATCTTCTTTTTCATAATGTTCTGAAATTGGGACTTCTTGCTGTATCTGTATCTTGCGCTGTCGTCCAAAAAATAAAATTACTACTGCTCTCCTAGAGGACTCGACTGTACAGGCAACCGTTAACGAGTATAAAATTAAAGAAACTTAATTACACACACATATTTTCTTAGTCAAACTGTTTTCACACATGTCAGATGTTTCTTAAAGATTTAATGTTTCATTCACAATCTTTTATAAAACCCTTCGATTTCAAAGTGCAATATGTGTTCAAAAACAACCAGCAAAGAAAGAGGAGAAATAAGTGAGAGGGAGTGGGAGACTTCAATGACAATGAGTCAATGACTTCACTTAGAAAACAGAAAATACCAGCAAAAGTAGGGGGTGGGTGTTAAAAATGGCAGCCCGTATACTTTACGATGGTTGAAAACCGGCCGGATAACGGAAGGCCATTGGACATTTATCGTACGGTAGTCAGAATATCGAGCCGTTTCCAGAATAAAGATGTCAAGGTTTTTACCGGGTGACCGCATGGACCGGGCTAATACCTTTCGGAAACCGTCTGAATACCTACCGGACCACAGAGGATTAATTACCGGCCCACTTCTTCCCGGGCATGATTGAAATGTTTCTTTCCTATCTCAAATTATCAACGGTGTTTCATCGACCCCTCTCTATCGGGCGGTTCCCGCTTGTAATGTGACATAGTCATAGTCTATTTTGTAACTTCGGTCCATCTCTGCCTTGTATTAATCTCTTAATGAAAAAAAAACGTATAAAAAAGGAATAAGCAACTTTTATTTGGAAGTATGTTAGTCCAGATAATGTTTCTAATTATGAGTTAGTTCAGCTAACTTGGACTTATTATGAAAAAAAAAAAACACTCCAAATAAGAAGGACTTTATTACTTTTATTTACAAGGGTATATACCCGGTAGCAACTGATGTTTCTCTAAAAGTGGGTTAAAAGGCAGTATTATTGAATTAGGGAGTTCAATATCCTTATTCTACCGTAATTTCTTCTAATAAGGCTTTTTAAACTCATAATTAGGACTTTGTTTAAAATTCTAATTAGGAGTTACAAAGTTTAACTTTATTTCTCTTAAAAAGATTTCTTGTCAACTAACAAGGTCCTTGTTAAATTATTTATAAGCCCTCGTTATATAAAATTTTATTTCTTATTTCTAACTAGGCTTCTATCAGATTTTTGTTAATCCTAAATATAAGTAACTTAGTCCTTGTAAGACTATTATTTAGATTTCATTTTTTCAAGAATTAGGTTTGGCACCATTACGCTTCCTTATCAGAACACGTTTTAATTCTTGTAAACTTTCGACCACGCCTCGAGGACATATTGAAAGAAAAATGACCGTGCGACAACATACACGCATCACAGGATTTCCCTTCTTATACGAGAAAGGGATAAAATGCAGTCCGTCCATTTTATCAAACTGCAAACTTGTAAAGTATGCCATTTCCTTATTGCTATTAATAAGTGGGCTAGTTTAAACAACTTTGCTTATACAGCTAAAGTTATGCAAACCAAACGGGTTTTCAGTTTTCGTCTTTTTAACTTTCCTATGAAAAGGTATAAATATCATTTATAATTAGTAGGGAAATCTTATAATAAAGTTTAGAGTTTTTTCTTCTTTTCATTGTGTGTATATTATAGCTTTACATGTGCTGTATTCTATTTCTGAAAAATATAAACGTTTCAAAAATGTTTTATATGCATTAAATGAGGGAGATATAGTTCACACTTAGCTTGCAAATTTTCACCTTGGGTCATTTTTGTCAAATTGCGCATATTTTTTTCTAGCTTTGTACAGTACCTGTAACTTAATCGATTTCCACTTATTGTAAAATCTTACTGAATTGAAGGACATCATTTGAATTTAAATTTCTTTACTGTGTGTCATTAAAACTGTTTTTTTTTTCGATGCATCTTTCTGCTTTGCATCGAAAAGTCAATGTTTTCATGTTAATTGCACTATTTATAGTTGTCCTGTAACAGCGCATCAGTAGAACCTTTCGATGCATATATGGTAAAAATATATTTTCTGTCATGATAAAAATATTGTAAATCATAGTTTAAAGTATTGATTGAGGACAAAGGAAGATACGGATACAGGAATTGATAAGACAGTGATCTGAATGTTGGCCATCTTCAGAGCGTTTGTGCCATCAATGGCAGCGTCGATACAATAATGATATCTGTCATAATTATGCTGCGAGGCGACACGCCCATCGGACGGTAACGATGCTCACCGAGGCTTTTGTGGGATCCCGAGGGATGGATATTCTGATCCAAACCGCACACATATGTCAGATACTTTTTCTTGTATATTCTACCATATTCTATTACATAACACACTCTTTACCTTAATAAAACATAGTAATTTATGTCATTACACCCGTAGCTACATGTATTTTCTTACAACAGCGTATGAAATGACAACTTCATTCATAACGGTAAAATATCGTCATCCTAAGCGTGTTATTGTACAGCGCGCAACTCATCTGCCCCCGGTCCCCTCCCCTCCTTGTGCCAGGTGAAATTTCCGGAATGGGTAAAACTAACGGAAACGCAAGTCTGATATGCAGTATTAGAAGTATTTTCTTCTAAAACGACTGCATTTCCTCTTCGGCCAATCTATTTTGGAGGCATTTAACATTTCCAGGGAAAAGACACACTGGGTTGATATGTTCCGTGCGTGACCCTAAGTGGTGATTGTTTAAGTGTATAACACGAACGAAATCGCTCTGTTTATTCAAATTGAACAAACACAATCATTTTCCGAAGCTGTCATGATATGTGGAAACGAGTCTAAAATTACCCAAAAGTATATCTAGTCAATGGACAGTAAGTCTAAAACAATGATCTTTTTACCTTATCTGCGAAATACGAATATACATTTTACAGCCTAACTGTTGTGATCAGTATGATTTTTGTCATTTATTTACTGTAGTAATCTATGAAAATTGGCGCCGGTAATACGGTACGTAATTAGAAATCCAAAACTTTTAGAATTAAACAGGCCATTAAGCGCTGCTAGGGTTACCTCTTCGGGTAGCAATGCTGATCAAGTAGGATATACATATGTGTGTACCTGAATGAATACGCAAGTTGCACCCACACTCGTTACCAACGCATCTATTTATTGACGACCCGCCTCATCAAATTGTATCTATAGATTGACTCGCCTTTTCTGTACCGAGCTGGTTGACGTCAAGAAATATTTGATTTTTTTTATACTAAAGTCCGACTTACTTATCAAACTGTTATATAATATGGCGGCTTATTGGTGCCAATCGATGTTTCGCCCCGCGCCCCATCTAATTAGTCCTCGACATTTTAACTTGTTATTGGCGGGGTCGTGATGCGAAAACACGAAATGGCACAAATCAGCCACCATAGTTATTCATCAAGTCTTACCAAACTGACACAAGCAGTATATTAAATTATCTCAATGTTCCCCGCCAACTATTTTACTTTTGAGACATTGGTTGATTTTAAATGCGTCACGTGACGCTGAAGTTATTTGATTATTCTATGGATTTGATATATTATATCATTGATATATCAGGTATTGGCAAGTGATGGCATAACTCAGGTGGCGAGATTTACCAAACACTGGAGCAAGATGCACTATTTCTTCCGGTTGAAAAAATTCTCATTAACTTGTAAGTAGGATCCTCCTAAAGCTGTTTATGTGTTTCTCTCTCCTGATGTTTTGGGGGTTGGCAAATGCATAAAAAGAAGTACATCTCAATTAAGTTTATACATTATATCAATGTATCTTCACTAGTCCCCTTTCTGGTGCAAACCAGGACTGGTGCCATAATATACTTTCACCAGTCCCCTTTCTGATACAAACCAGTACTGGTGCCATAATATGCCTTCACCAGTCCCCTTTCTTGTACAAACCAGTACTGGTGCCATATAAAGAAACACGGTCGTGACCCAAGTAGGGTTCGAACCAACGATACCGGTTTTGCTCTGCAGAGGTTTATATTGTACTTTCTAACAGGTGCAACTTCTTAAATACGTCTTTAAACATGAATGTATCAAATGGACTTTTTCTGCGTTTGTGAAAGCTTTTTATATATCAAAATTGCTAATATTTTGTATTCAATGCCATTAATTCTAATCAACTTGCACGAATATATGACACATCACAATTAAGTAGAATGTTTCTGTAATTATCGTCTCTGATACACTGGCTTTTATACATGTAAACTAAAATGCAAATACAGTATCAGATATTGTATTATTTTCTAATTGCAACTATGTTATCTTGCATAAGGTATTGTCATTTAATTCAACTTCCCTCAAACCAAGATGGATATTTGTTATATATGTTCCGTCTTATACATGTTTCGTCTTGTATTCATGTTCATATTCCGTCTTATACATGTATATTTCCGTCTGATAGATACATTTTCCGTTTTATACTTGTTCCATTGTATACATGTCCCATCGTGTTTTGTCTTATAGTGCTCCTTTTAAAGGTGTTCTGTCTTATACATGCTCCGTTTTATACATGATCCGTCTTATATACGTTCCATTTTAAAGACCTTCTGTCTTATACATGCTCCGTTTTATACATGATCCGTCTTAAACATGTCCCGTCTTTTCAATGGTCTGTCTTATACATGTTCTGCCTTTAACATTGTCTATCCTAAACACGTTCTGTTTTTATACATGTTTTGTGTCAGCTATGTAAGAAAATCTTTTTCTGTTTTAAGTTCCTATGGATTTAGATGAGAGAATGAAGGCTGTGTTGCTTGGAACAATTTTCGCAATTGTAAGTAAGAGAGCTGGTATTTATTTTTATATAAATCAATTTCATTTATTATTTCATTATCGTTATTAAAGTTATTACCAAAACTGAATTTATTGCGTAACATTTATTGCATCGATTTTTTTTTAATCGATTTTTTTTTAGTTATTTTATAATAAACTTAAGGAGTCATTAAATGAAAAGATTTTTTTCTGTCATCATCATCATCATCATCATCGTCGTCGTCGTCGTCATTGTCATCATCGTCATCATCACCTCACTATCATTATCATTATTATCATTATGATTATATTTTTTTTTTTACAAATTACAAACCCACCTTCCAATAATACAGAACTGAATGAAAATAAAAGTCCAACTTTCGATACATTTACCTTTATTAAAAGTTATCTAGAGTTATCTAACATTTGTATTATACTTTGCCTACCTACGTATAACTTAACACAGTATAGCACTATATGACACTACATGTATATAATATGCCACTCTGATGAAGTTCTGAAACAGTTTTTTTAGGTTATACACTTTCTTTATTAGGTTTATAACAAATAATAATAACACATTTTGTGTGAGCACTACATCTTATTAGTAATCTCTTTGTTTCATTTCGTACCGACTTGCTGTTTTTGGAAAGAGGTTGCTTATGGGGTGAAATAGTTTGCTTATTGGGTTTTAGAGACCAAAAAAGATTTAAAAAAAATGTCCATGTCCATTCCGTACACACTTGTACTTGTGGATAATAAAGAGAACGTCCAACCGTCCGGCATCCAGCTTACTCGCTGTCCGTCTAAAACAAGAATGGAAAAGGGGGAACATTGTTTTCCTATCTCATTGTAAATTTAGATCTTAATGTATGCATTTCCATTCGTTTCAGATTTATTTTTATATAGACGAAAAATGTAAAGATATAGCATTTAAGTTTTAAAAAACAATTTCATCGTGTGAGCTAACAGAACACGAATCAAGTTAAAAAAAGCAGTTGTTTAACTTGTATACAAAATTGGTGTTGGTAAATTGCAGGATGTTATGTATTATCCGCCAGTTGAAAGCGCTGCAAGAAGAGGAAGGCGTATGTGAAAATGACAGTAATAAGTTTAGCGGGAAAAAAAACTTCAAAGAATAACACACATAATTAATGGATTTGGAGTTTTCAGCTGATTTTCTAGCTCGTGTAATCAGGAATAACAATTTCAAAATATTAATACTCTTAGAAAAAAAATCGGATTTTGTTATGATATTGATTGTAAAATGTAATTTAATGCAATATGTAGCAACGAGTATGAGTAACATGTAGTTACTATAATTGTTAATGTCTTTACAACCTGTTATATAAATCGTCTATTGACAATGTATACATTTCTTGTTTTCATTTACACGATTCTACATATGAGCGTGTATTTATTAAAGATTACAGTCTTACTTTGTGACATTTTATTATATGAATGAATATAGCGGTATAATATGAGATAAATGAGTAGCAATCGTTGTGTTCAACAGCGGCGCGAGTGTCCTTTACTTTTCAAAGTCTTTCACAGCCACAAAGTAAATAATATTCACTATATTTAAAGTACTCTCAACTTTTAAATGCTTGAGATTTGGTTTGATTCTTTTCTTCTTAATCTATTTTCTTTTTTAAACAAACTGCTATTGAAGGTCTTTCCCAGCCACAAAATAAACTTTGTTTACAACATTTAAAGTTTTACATAAATAAATGCTTTAGCTATGGTTTGATTATTTCCAGTGAATCGCTTTTCTTTTTAAACAACATATTAAGACAAAAAAATCTTCTTTTTTGTTTTTCTCCATTATTTGTGTGAAATTCATCAACATATATTGCGTGCGTGCATGCGTGAGTGTGTGTGCGTGTACTTGTGCATGTGTCACAGGCTTAGAATAATATTCAGCCTGGCCGGACCTTCGAAATATCGTTCCGCGGTTTTACTATCTGAGCCATCCGGCCGCCCTCTAAATAGTGAACAGTTCTTCACCGTGATACATGTATGTTCACATAGATTCAGGTGACCGGGCAAGTACCCTTCGGAAACCATCCGAATACCTAATGGGCCACAGAGTGAGAGTGACCGCCCACTTCTTCCCGGACATGATTGAAATGTTTCTCTCTGATCTCAAATTATCAACGGTGTCACATCGATCCCTCTCTATACCGGCCGGTTCCCACATGTAATGTGACGTAGGCATTACAAAGGAGGGCCACCGACCGGAGACCTTTAAAAATTGGCAATTTCAGCCCGTTTAGACATCGGTACCCCATCGTAAATCTAATCAGAGTGTTATATGACGCAGGCTATAACAGGAAACGGGAAAGACAATTTCAGAAATGATACTACTATGATATAACTATTCGTAAAAATGGTCTACATTTTTACTTAAAATAATTTGTTAGATAAAACAGTATTTGCAATTAAAATCAACAGAATCTGGTTTCATGCTAGCTTTTATATTAACACATAAAGTGTTCAAAATGATTTAGCAATTATCAAGTGAACAAACAATGTATTACTAATACAAATACATGTAATGTGTCAAAATAATAATAAGAAATAGCGTAATTTTGTAAAAGGCAGCACAGATATGTAGTGTGAAATAGTAGTCAGACATGTTTTCATATCACATGTAAAAACGTCAAAATAACTTTTGTATTAATATATTTCTTTTATGTATTCACATATTGTCTGAGATTTAATGTTCTAGAAAATTTGTTAACTAATCTTTAAAAAAAATGAACGGATAATATGATATTGTGTATTTCTATGCACAATTTAAATACCCGTTTATGATCACTATCAGAAAATATAAGGTAAATAACTACGTCGGTCATAAATCTAATCGATTTGTTATCCCCTTTAAATATGTTCCAATCTTTAAACCTTCTGTTTATTTATAGATACACATAGCAACAAGCAGACGAAGTATTGAATAGCATTTATTGTGACTGAATTAGCAATTATTAACGGATATAACTTACTGTCGAATTAGTTTACGTTGTTAAACTTGACGATATATATTATCACATTCCAAAATTTGAAAGGATTTTCAACTGTTTCAATGTTATAAAACGACTGATTTTCATAGATTCAAAATGGAAGTATCGGGTCGTAAGGAATGGGACGATAATCATTCAACATCTAACCAAGGGAGACAACGTACAGTTCTTTGCCAACCTTGTGAATGTGACGGTGATACAATAGAAGCGGAGGCATTCTGTGAAACTTGTAACGAGTTCCTCTGTTCTTCCTGTTTGAAGGCTCATCGGAAATTAGCTATAAGTAAAAATCACGTGATCAAGTCAAAGAATGAAATGCCAATATCAAAGGAAAAGCAAAAAGATCCATGTACGGAGTTGTGTTCAGTCCATTCTACCGAAATAATAAATTTTTATTGTGAAGACCATAATTATGTAGGATGCGGAGATTGTATTGTCCTTAGCCACAAAACGTGTTCTGTTAAACTCGTCAATAATGTCTCGGATAACTATGATGCCTGTGAGGAATTCCGGCAGACCAAGAAAAAGTTAGAAAGCCTTCAGCGTAGAATTTCATCTTACCAGGGTATTATTGTAGATTCCATTAAAGCTGCTGATGAAATGAGAGAAAAGATTATGAAAGATATTCATATTTTCCGACAAGAGATTAACGAATATTTGGATAATACTGAGGCAGATCTGCTGAAACGAATAGATCAGCTGACATCGAAACAAGTGTCTCAGCTTAAACATATCCAAAAAGAATTTGAGTCTATGGCCACTGAAATGAGAGAATGCCAAGAAAAAATAAATAAAAATACAAACAAGATTAATCAATTGTTTGTAATAGCAAAACTTACACATGAAAAGATTGATGCCTGTCAGATTTCAACAGAGGAGCTAGCGTCTAAATGTGAGATTGAAACATTTGATTTTGTGAAGTCTCATTATTTAGAAAAACTTGTAACAGACAAATTACACATTGGTGTTATCAATGCAGATAAGCGAAAGTTAAGCACACTCAACAAAATGAGTCTGAAAGACGTTCAAACGACGCTGTTAAAGACGTTAAATGTCCTCAGTGCAGTACGCGACAGGACGCAAAGCTTAATATCGGGAATGGCAATAATTTCATGTGATGAACTCTTGCTTGTGGATTGTGCAAATGATTGTTTAAAACTTATAACCTTAGAAAAATTTAAGATAGTTGTTACATTAAATACAAATGGTAAACCATGGGACATCACTGCGATAATTTCAGGATTATTCGCAGTCACTGTATTCACAACAGGTGAAATACTATTCATAAATACATCAAATGGTATTTCTAAAAGTCACAGTATTAAGGTTAGACATGACTGTAGAGGAATCGACTACCGTAACGGAGTTCTTGCAGTATCGTTCGACAAACCAGCATGCGTACAGCTACTTGACATTAAAGGAAACATTATGAAAGAGTTTGATATCGCTAAACAGTGTTCATTTCCTCATTATATAGCGTTTTGTAACGACGACAACAAAAGCTTCATTGTGTCCTGTTCCTGTAATGATGCTCTTTTTGAGTTTGGGCCAGATGGGAAATTAAAGGATAAAATAAAAAGCAATGATATAAAGAGCCCAGAACATTTTGTTGTTACACATGATCGAGCGATTATTGTATGTTGTACAAGTATCAGTGAAAGGCTTATTATGATTACACCACATACAAGAGAGGTGCTTCCCATTACTGTGGAAGATATCAAATGTCCATTTTGCTTAGCGATATCTGAAGATCAGACGAGGATGTTTATTTCTGACACGTCAGATCGTTATATCAAAGTGTTTAGTATCAAATGAGTTAAATCCTAGGCATAACTTAGAAATGGTTTGATAACAATTTCTAGGACATTATGGACACTATTCTTATATGAACCTTACAAAAGAATTACATTGACATTTTCTGTTTCATAAACAGTTCATTAATCAAGAATTGTGATGGTCATGTTTACATTCGATCATATTACATTTTCTATTTCATAAACAGTTCATTAATCAAGAAATTTGTGATGGCCATATTTACATTCGATCTTCATCATGTATGTTTCCATTTTATCAATAAATTATATATATTCTATTGCGATAGAAAAAAGATTTTATAAACTTGCGTTTTAATCCTGACCCCACTAAATTTTTCAAATATACTTGTCTATATGTTAATTTGGACAGAACCATTCATCAATGTAGGAAATTTTCCAAATATGTACTGTTTGAATATCTGATATTAAATTATGGTGAGGTGCGGCCAGATCCATTTTGCACTGTTGCACAAAACAGATTTTAAAGTAAAAATGTATAAATTGAATAAAAAAACAAAGGAGAGTCAAATTATGTTTTGTCTCAATCACGATTATCTTTAAATACCTGTTTCCATTTTATCGTTCATTTTGAATTCGACCAGACCATGATAAAAAGGTGCCAAGTTAAAAACATTTTCTTGAAAAAAGTTAAGCGTGTTTGTAACATTTGTTAAATTTGCAATGATATTCTTTGGACGAACTTTAGTTTTAAACTTTAATTTTGGTAGCCATCTTGTGGTTATCTTGACTTTGATCTTTTTATTGCTCTTACAGAGGCCAAATAATACCAGAGGTTTGTCAAACTGACAAACATTTATGGCCATTACTGGGACAGTGTAAATGGAGCTTTAATGGCTTAATTTGACAGCCCAATTATAAGTTTAAACCAAGTCTGAGCTGGCTTATATTCTATTTCTTTTATAGAGTAATTGAAATATTGTTAAGCTTGGCTAAGCCTGTATGTTGTTATTACATGTCTAACTTTGGGACAGATTTACTTAATGAATTTATTTATGTCTTATTTTCATATACTATATTATGTATATTATGGAGGGACACTGGTTCTAGAACAGAATCAATCCCACTACAGGCTTTTAACAGAGAAGGTGTTTATTTGCACTCTTGATTTAAACTAAATTTTTTTGTGGCTGAGTTGGTAATTGGACATTTCAGGCAGTCGACATTTCTTACTAGACACATCAAACAAGATTATGGGACACTTCAGAACAGTTTTCGGGACATTTCGAACCGGATATTTGTATACTTCGGCCCATTCATTGGACGCTTTGGACCAATCATTTAGACACTTTAAACCTTTCTTTGGGATGTATCGGAACAGTCTAAAATACCAATTTTTGTTATATTCATGTAAATCATTATTTTTTACGAGGATATGGAAAAACAACAAAGTGCCATGGGCGCCGGGCAAAAAATACAACCAAAATACTAAGTCGTATTTTTTAGTTTTCATCTGGTGCCTACCTAAGCAAAAGTACAACATGGCACAAATCAGCCACCGTAGAATTTATTATGTACTATCTTTTTTGTACAAAAATATAGACATGGTAAATATATTTGTTAAGTTTTAACTATACATGTATAAATAATGGAACAATAATCGTCTCATCCTATTTCAGTAAAAAATATATATATATTATAATGCTCGTAATATAATTGTAATTGTAAATTTTGTCAAAGTAATGTGTGCATAGATATTGGTTTTTATTCAATGCGTAGCCCCCAAGGGTAGTCAGACTATTCTCTCCCTTACCAGTTCCTCCCTGACGGTTCTCTCCCTATTTTGGGGGAGAAGCGTCTGACTATTTTCAAATAAGAAGACAATTCCTCCCCATTTTTATTTTTATTAATGCATTATTATTAATGCATTTATATGTTAAATAGATAGGTTAGTAAAATATCAATTGATATGAATTAGAATTTCTTATTTTATTGAAGTGTTTAGATGTTAACTGGGTAAGTTTATTATTTATTGATATAAATTAGAGTAAAAAATGTTGTAGTGAAATATTTCGATTTTATGTTATTCAAATAGGTTAGTTTTTCATTAATTAATATAAATCAGAAACAAAAATATTGAAGTTTAAAATGTTTAATAATTGGATAAATTACAGAAATTAGAGACAAAATATTTTATCGAAGTATTTAGATGTTTAATAAATGGGTAAATTTATTATAAGTTGATATAAATTAGAAAAGAAATATTTCAACAAATTAATAAATTATTCTGTTTTTTTAATTAGATCGAATGTATAGTTTTTAATGTGTTTAGACATTGAAAATAATCAATGAATCATTTACTTGATTAGGAGAATCATTAGATATTAACTATATACATTGTAAGTGTGTTGTTTTTTCTTTAATAAATAAGAATAAAATTTATAAGAAAAAAATGATAACTGTCTTTTAATACCTAAATTTCATACTTTATAATCAAGAAACTTTAAGGTTTTCAAAACACATGTGCAATAAGTTTGCTGTCAAAGATAATTGAGGTGTTTTTGAGTTTATTACTTAAAATAGCTGTGAAAAGGTGTTGACGAATAAGTTTTTTATATAAATAATTTGGTCTTATATATATATTGTTTTATGTGAATGACAACATGTTCTATAATCAATTTAGTTTAGAAGTAAATATGAAATGTAATTGCATACCAGTTATTGCTTATTTATTTTCTAGAACATACTTGTTACCATGTTACTGCTATTTAACAAATAAATGAATATAAATAGACCTCAACATAATTACAGGTGTATCAGTCACTGTCCAGTTATCTGAATCCCTCACAATGAAGGTGTTGACAGGATTAAAATGCCTGAAAAAGGTGTTAAATTTACAAACACTTTTCAGATAATATATATATTCTTTATTTGAGTCTCATCCATACATAATATAAAACAATTCAATGACATAATTTTACAAAGTAAAAGTTATTTATGTACGGCCATTCTTATCAGAATTACAAGAGACTATAAAATTTTTAATCTAATGGAAGGGAGGCAACTCTGCAAGAATGTCCAATGTTACTTACAGAGTTACCTCTCTTCTCATTCCATATTCATATGCATGTTACAATTTAAAATTGCTAAAATAAGAAACTATTGCTAATCTTGTTCTAAAATACTTAAAATGTTTCTGGTAATTTTTGCTTTACAGTAAAAATCCTTAAAATGTTCTCTTCCTTAAACCCGTAAAATTACACTGAATAGCAATAGATTCTTAAACTATAAAATCATGTAAATAAAATTATTTCGCATCATTGGAAAGATAAAAACCTATACACGTAAAATAAAACATTATTCACATTTAAGTGACTTTACATATAATGTCTTTGCCTAAAAATAAAATAAAAACGATCAGTTACTAATTATTAACTATGAGTATGTTTACCATTTCAAGAGACCTAGAGAGTTTACAATTACCCTTGTCTAATGATTAAAAGTATTAAAATATTACTAACCATAAAATCAGGCTTATAAATACCCTGATTAGTACAATTTCTCAATAATATAATGTAAGACTCTCAGTTTGTTGGATAAAAAGTTTAGCAATTTACATTAACATTATAAGAGACAGTTCTCATGAATATAACCAGTTAGTTCTACTTTTAAGAATATTGAAACAGGATTTTGCAGCACACTTTACAATTTCAGTATTGGAAAAAATGAACGACAATTTATTATCATCAGACAGCCTTAAAAATTGATCATTTACATTTTCTGCTTTGGCAAATAAATCTTTCCTAATATCCTCATACCTTGGACAATATAAAATAACATGTTTCTCATCTTCAATTCCAGTTTTACAGATTGGACAAATTCTTTGGTTCAAAGCTAACCTTTCATATCTGCCCGTTTCGAGTCTGATAGGGGCTACCCCACATCGGAACTTTGCAAATGCTGCTCTATGCTTAATCGGCAGGATAGCAGTTACATATGCTTCTGTTTCATAACTAAACTTAAAGGTTCTGTAAGTCCTCAATTTATTTCCCCCTTGCCCAGAACTACTATTTATTGTATGTAGTGACTCAATCCATTCATCCAAATACTCATCTAGATATGAGCTGGTTAGCTTTTCCACCAAACAATTTTTATTTAAAACATTATTAAGAACAAAAAATTCACCACAGTTATATTTCTCAAAAATTTCTTTTACTCTAAAATACCAGTTCTTACAAGTTCTACCCGCCTGCTTAAAACAGTACATATTTACTTCACAATTTATTCTCATACTGTTCATACTTGCAGATCGACACCAAGTACTCGCCACACATTTAAGTTGTTTAATAAAGATAGGTTCCCAGCCCATATCCCCGGCAACTGCCGCATTTGGAGTGTATCTGCCTGTTCCTAAGAAAAACCTCATTGCCCGGTTCTGTACTGCTTCAATACATTTGTACTTTCTTGTACCCCAAATAGCAGCACTATAACCCATAACAGGCCAAACAATGGAATCATACAATTTTTTAAATACATTGAAAGGCATACCTCCAAGTTGCTTAAATTTTGCAATAATAAGTCCAAGAGCCCTGCTTGCTGCCTTAGCAACAAATTTTGCTGTAAAGTTATAGTCAAGAAACTCATTAAGAGCCAGCCCAAGATAGACATAGCTATCAGTGACATTTAAACTATCAGTTCCACACTTGAATGGAAACGATGTTCTTGGTGTCGATAAGCTTCGAAAATGTACAACATTACTTTTCTTTACATTGATTGCCATATGATTTGTATTACACCATATAAATACAGTATCTAACATGGCTTGTAAATCCTGCTCATTTTTTGCCAAAAGTACTACATCATCAGCATATAATAAAATTGATAAGAATTTACCCTCTTCAAGTTCTATTCCTAGACCTAGAGACTTTATGTTTACAGCCAGATCATTTATATAGCAGTTAAATAACACGGGGGATAAAATGCATCCTTGACGTAATCCCAAATTAACATCAAACCACTTTGAAGTGTAACCATTCAGTCTTATACATGAACTTACACAAGAATATAGAGACTTAATAACATTTAACATTTTACAATTCAATCCCATCTTAAATAAATGTTCCCATAATATTGAACGGTCAACTGTGTCATAAGCCTTTTTAAAATCTATAAACGCAGTAAAAGTGCTGAGTTTCTTTTTTAATCTAGTTTCTATAATAGATGTGATACTTGATAAATGGTCCCCAGTACTACGCTTCTTACGAAAGCCATTTTGCTCATCTACCAATTTGGAGTTATCCTCTAACCATGATGATAACCGTTCGTTAATAACTGAGCAATATAGCTTGTACATAGTAGGTGCTAAAGTTATACCCCTATAATTTAACGGATTCAAAGGATCTGTTGTATTAGATTTTGGGATGGGATTAATAATGCCTTTTCCCCAGTCTTTAGGTATTTGACCAGTTTCGAAACATACATTAAACAGTACATGCAAGAATAAAACTGCAGTATCATTTTTAAAAGCTTCATATGGTATGTTATCAACACCACAAGCTTTACGGAAATCTGCTTTATCTATGGCTTTTTTAACTTCATTTACTGAAATATTATTGTCTAGCTGTGGGATATAACTGTTATGATCTGTCTGAACGTCTCGATAAACACTAGATCCATCAGCAGGGGAACCATTCAAGAGATCTTTAAAACTATCTTTCCAATAATCTAACACTTTGTCTTGATCTGTAACTAATACTCCTTTGTCATCAACAAACTCAAATGGAATGTTGTGTGTTTTTGTTTTAGATATACCAACTTTACCAATTGTTTTCCAAAACCTGTTTTGGTCACATTCTACATAGTTAAGTAGTTCTCCCTGCTGTTGGAACCAGTATTTTCTTTTAGTTTTTTGTACCTCCCTATCAAAAAGTTTTCTAAAGATAAACATACAACGTAAAATGCACTTAACATCAAATACATTCTTATAATAATCTTCATTAAGAAATGCTATTAGATTAAGTCCAAACTAAAATGATAACTTAAAAAATAAAATTGGGGAGAACTGTCTGCATATATAAAATTTAAAAGAGAACCGTCAGGGGAGGAAACTGTTTGGGAGAGAACCGTATGTTCGTTAAGTTAGCCGGAACAGCCGGAGCAGCCGGAACTCATTTTGTCTATTTTTGTCTCATTTTGAATGGCAATCATGCAAATGAATTACGTTTGGTGAATAACTAACCACCTAAAAGGTATGGTAAACGGAAACTACGCCGCTTCTTGTCGCCGACGTTAAATACCGAAAATGAGCGGATAAATACGTTTATTTACGATGATGTAGTGGGCGGGAAAATGGGGGGAGCTTATTTTATCTACTACTGAAATACGTGTAAAGCTGGATTATGCTGATCCGAATCATGATGGCTAAGAATGTAACTTCTGTTTTGTCGGCGTATACACGAACAATGAGTATTCGAACACTTGGTATTGCTACTATCAGTAAATGTTTTGTCGTTTCACAAAATGTATTTTGTTGAAATTCATGTTTACAATGTTAAATCGGCAAACTCAATCCAAGGTTTACATATAATTGTATTTTGTCTATTAACAAACTGTTCAACTCAGATCAACAAGGCTGGATTTTTGGCCATATATATATAACAGTCGAGTTTTTTTCCTATATGAATCAATGAAAAAACTGTACTGTTATATATCAATACAGTTTTGAAATGCTTGAAGTGTACTGAGTATAATGGGTTAGTTAGAACAAAGGATAAGTTCCAAACCATGCGATAAATGGTTATCTCCCCCGGCGTTTAAGAAATTAGAGATCCATACCGAACTACAATGTAATTGCATTGTGTCCTATAGATCAATAGCTGATCAATAGCTCTATAAAATATCTAGTATCAAATAACGTGTTATAAGGTTGGATATATATGTTGGAAAAAACCTGGCTAAAATAATAGTTTTACAGGTTTCGGTTGGATAGCTAATATCAAGAGGATCTCATAATTAACTGACATATATTTCCGTGTATATTATAAGACACATCGGTGTGTGAATATACATAACTTTAAATAAAAGGGAGGTAGAAATTGTAAGTACCTTGTTTGTTATTGTTTTTTTTTATATATTCTAATGTGTACTTGTCGTTAACATGTCAATAAATTGATATAAAACTTTGAAATTGCAGAATTTGACTAATTCAGTAACTCATGAAATATATATCTTTTGTCTATATGTAGAAGTACGTTGTACGTTGGTTTTTTTGTACCCTTTTAATACCTGCTAAATTACGTAAATGGATTTTCCCAGTTTCCATTTATGGAACTGACCATTACATCAACTCGGGGGGGGGGGGGGGCATATTGATGACGAATTAAACAACAAATTTGAACTTGTGTGACTTTTTATGAGTCCAGAAAGAGTTTACTTTCGTGACTTTACCGATTTCACTTTAATTTAAACAAACGTTGATTTATTGATAAACTTCATGTGTACAAAGGGTTAAATATCAAATTGTGTCTATATCAATATGATATAAATATATTTGCTCGCCCGCTATGGTTTAGTCCGGTTGGAAAATAACATGCATAATTACGACAGGTATGTCGTTATTTTATTAACTTAAAAATTAAAATAAGTAATAAATACAGAAACTGACAGAATTTCTCTTTATTAAGATAAATTATAATTTCATTACATTATTGAAATATTATTAAGGGATTGAATTTGTATTATTGTAAAATAACATACAGTGCAACCTCCATAAAACGATCACTCGTAGAGAACTTTACTTCTTTACAGCAAATGTTTCAATTATTACTTCACAATATATTTAACTTCTCTAGAGCAATTCCTGTTTGCAACGACCAAAATTTATTATTGTAAAAGAGCATACAGAACAACCTCTACAAAACGACCACCTGTAGAACAATAACCTTCATACAGCAACAGAAATTAAGACTTCTTGCCATATATTTTACTTCATTAAAGCAACACCTGGCTGCAACGGCCAAATTTTTAGCCTTCTAAAGGGTGCTTCTTTGACGAGGTTGTACTTTACCGGCTCCTGTAATGAAAGATTAAATATTTGTGTTGCGGATCGGTGGCCAATTTCAAATAATAAATTGTCATTGTCTTTGGCCACTATTCTATTTTTTAGAGGACATGAATGAGGGCGCCTCGTTTATTTTATCAGCAAAATATTGAGTTGTGAGAAATGGAGAAGTCCTTATATCCACCTGAACCGCCGCCTTCATATGGTAATATTTTATCACATATTTAGAAAACAATTTTTCACCCTTGCTTAAAAATGCCTTATAGTGTTAAGTTAAGTAAAACAATGTATTGGGAAGGCGTTATAATGCGAATAACGGCCTTATAACGCATCAAAGGCGTAATAATACAAAAAAGTAGTTATAACGCAAACATAGGTGTATTTATGCGTAATAAGGCCATATAACGCAAACAAAGGCGTAATAATGTAAAAAATGGAGTTATAACCTAAACAAAGGTGTATTAATGCGAATAAAAGCGTTATAACACAAACAAAGGCGTATTAATGCGAATAAGAGCGTTATAACGCAAACAAAGGCATGTATACAAGTAAAAACGCAAAACAAATGGCGAAATAACGCAAATGAAGGCGTTTTTATGTGATATTAGTTATCTGTTAAAGAAACTTAACGAAAATATACCCCATTTTTGTAGTATATTAGCTTGAATTGAATTTAAAGTATTTTCCTAATTCTTTATGGTATTTTTTCACGAGTTACTTACAGCTTATATATTTTATAGAATTGCATATTCTTCTTTTTATCAGATTCTTTACCAGGGATAGTGCAACAGCAACCGTCGGCACCACCCCCACCAGGTAATGTATAAGAATTACACCAAATGTCGCACACATTGCCGTATACATATGAGTTGCGCCATGACAAATCAACATAGTGCGTTTGCGACCAGCATAGATCCAGACCAGCCTGCGCATCCGCGCAGTCGATGCGCAGTCTGGGCAGGATCCATGATGTTCGCTTACAAACCCTATTACAAGTAGTGATACTGATAGGGAACAGCACGGATTTGCAGGCTGGTCTGGATCCATGTTGATCGCAAACCCACTATGTTGGTTTTTTAACGGCGCAGCTCAATTATATCTTAATACAATTTTTTATTTGTTATAAAAAATCATTTCCTTAACAAGTTACATGCTATTTAATTTTGCATTTAAAGTTCTATTTAAAGTTATCCGACGATGATGTCGTAGTAACATTTTGCACGTGTTTTGCCAGCTCTATTATTCACGTGCGTTTATATATAATTCCCCGACGGTAAATTATTGTGCACGAGCTAAAAATGTTTTCATGCTTTACATGCTTTTCTTAATATTCTTAATTGTAAAGACAAGTAATTCTTGCTATAAATTGGAAAATTTTATATGTAAAAAAAGGTTAAAGAAATAGTTAAGACTGATTTCTTAATAAAATCAATTGATAATTGAATATTAAAGTTTGTTAAGTTGTGTTATACTTTTGATTGATTATTAAGTAAAATTGAAGTTAAATTGATTAATAGTTATCATGTTTAGTAAAACTAGGTAGAAATAGATAATTATTCAAATGGATATTTGAGCCGCGTCACGACAAACCAACATAGTGCGTTTGCGACCAGCATGGATCCCTGCTGTTCGCTTACCAACTCTATTACAAGTAGGAAACTGATAACGAACAGCATGGATCCTGATCAGACTGCGAGGATGCGCAGGCTGGTCTGGATCCATACTGGTCGCAAACTCATTATGTTGGTTTTGTCGTTTGTTTTCTTTCCAATGTTTTGGATAAGTAAATAAACTTGAAAGGGATTCAAGACACCACATTCATGAATAATTCATTGGTTATTTCATTTACACATTTTTTAAATGTCCGATTGTTGAGTAAAACTTGTATTATATTTGAATTTATTTCTAATCTGATTCCTAGCTTTTACCAATATTAATATGGTCGTGAACACAATACTTAAGGTATCAAACCCACGTTCAATGGGTTGAGATAAATACACCTTAATCATTTGGCCACTATTTAACTCCGATTTTGTAGAACATGTGAAAATTTATATAGAGATACATTAGAGATATATAAACGGTATTTAAAGGGACTCTAATGATGTCCAAAAAACATAAAAATTGCTTTTCTAGCCCAATTTTAGTGAATAGCGTTGTAACGATTTTCAATTTTATGTCATTTTCTCAATAAAAATAATCATTCTGGAAGAACGGATTGAGCGAATGATCTGAAATTTAGCGCAAAAGTTATTTGTCTAGACCTATATCAAATGGAGCATTTTTCTGAAGAAAAAAATGAAAAAATATTCCTTGTCCTTTCATATCAAAAACCTCAGTGGGGTCCCTTTAAAGACATTCTATCATATCCAAATCAAAACAAGAGCCACAAACTAAACCTGCATGACAGTTTAAAAAAAGACACATCCGTCTATTTTGAAGCATTTTCATTTCTTAATTTTCTATCAAACTTAAGAAAAGTATTATTATTCGATTTTTAAAGCATTAAAGACACATTTCTTTACCATTTAGCTGGGTGTTACGGACTCACTCAAGCGTCTAGTGCAGACCCAGATCAGCTAGCACATCCTGGCCAGCTGATCATGGTCTGCACTGTTCGCTATCTACTCAGCGCATACAATTGAAATATTCCTTCCTAATGATGAATGGTTTAGTCCAAATTGAAAGATGGGCACGTTCGTTAAAGACATGTAGCGTTGTAATAGTCAATAATCTTTATTTTCTGAAGTTATGCCGATGCAAGGTATGTCGAGAATGCCGGGGTTGTCAGAAATGCCGGGTATGTCGGGAATGCCACCCGCACAGATACTTTGGATGACCCGGCCACTAGGTCGAGTCACCTGTCCTCGTGGTTTAGAATACCTAAACCAACTGAATAAGCTGTTCATACACCAAGAGATAGACAATAGTCCTGGAGGTTTGTAAAAATAAATATACACTATCTTCTATCTAAGATATTTTTAGAGGTCAAATGTATCCCAGAAACGCTATTATTTTTATTTCTCAAAAGCATTGTATTTTTTGGTCTTATGTGCTATAGTTTCCAACAAGTTACTAAATGGCCAATTACCTAAACCTACTTTTGCTTTTGAAAGTCAAATTACTATTTTGTTTGCATTTCGCTACTTTTATGACAAATAATTACAAATCCAATGCTGCTTTATCAGATTAAAAGCATCTAACATGAAACGATTATTTAAACGTTATAATTTTCCCTTTCAAACGAATACATTCTTTTTCCGTTTCTGGGGCAGCGTGTGCCTTTAAAGTTACATAGTAAATGGTCATGTTGTTTCAAACTTTGTTTACTATGGTGGCTGATTTGTGCCATTCGTGTTTTCGCCCCGCGACCCCACCAAGCGAAAAGTCGAGAATAAACAGATAAAAATGGCAAGGGCGCGGACCGAAAACACGCTAATTAGCGAGTGTGTGGGGCGAAGATTAATAAATAAAACTTCTCCCCGCGGGGGCGCGGAGCGAGATTTAAAAAAATAAAACGGCGGCGTCGCGGGGCGAAAACACGAATGCCACAAATTAATAACCATAATATACAGAGAATGCATACAACAAGCGATTCAACTTATTTCCTTAACTTACAGGTTTTATTAATTATTTGCAGGGATGTATGACGAAAGCGCTTACTGGTACAAGATAATGAATGCCAATGGCCAACAGGTGTTTACAGCAATTGAAGGTAAAGATACAAAAAATAAAGATAATCATAAAAGCAAAACATATGTTTTTGGTACATCGCGTAGGGGAAGAGTAAAATATCATAGAATCCGGGAATTGGGATTGTTTGACTATCTTCTAATGATATCTCAAAGATTGTCTTGAAATGGATCAAATATTATAAAGATGGGGTTATGCTTCTGACAGAAATGAATCTTGAAAAAAAATGTAAAGACTCAAATCAGCATTAATCTACATGACTTCAGTTTTAGGATATAAAAACATTTAAGTTCTAATTGCACCTTATGCATAAATTATCAAACTGTACATTGCGCACATTCTCGCAATTTACTATGATTTACAAATTCCGAAGTTAATAGTCAGTCACTTTATCATTTTGTTCTATTTACACACGTTACATATTCAATATTCCTTTTATTAAAACTGGATAGGTCAACTATACAGACTCGAATGACTTATAAAATCTTGACATGGTACATGTTTTTTAAAATTAAAAGATTTTTGACATGTAATACGGCCCTGTATAAACGGTTGTTCAAAAATATAATCTAAGTCACCAGGCGAGAGTTATATTGCAAACAACCGTTTATATACGACCATATAACATGTCAGAAATATTTATAACGAGTTTATAATACAGCAAGCATCAGTTTGTAGAGAAAAAAGCGAGATTTCTTCATAAACTGACAGCTACTATGTATATAAATTTATGTAAACGTCACGATTATCCAATGAAATGTTACAACCGTGCAGATTATAACTAGCTTTATATCTATTTCAGATCCTTCAAACACGAGTGGCACCTGTGTCTGCCTTCCCGGACAAAGAGGCTACAACGTCCGGATCAAAGACAATATTAACAATGTATGTATTAATATATTTTATTGTGATAATTATAGCTTCAATATGCACATGGACATGACGATCACTGACCTATATAGTATGTGACGTCATTATACTATTAGTTTTAAGGTTTTTGACAGGTTATGTGTCCACATATAAACGGTTACTTTCAAATATAACCCGAGCTAGAAAATAAAAGCCTTGCAAAACTTTAAATCATACCACCAAAACACACAAAATAAATGTAAAACTTTGACTACATGTGTTGTTAACTTTTCCAGGAAGTGATGAGAGTTACACGTGACCCAATCTGCTGCTCGTGCTGTCCATGCCTTGGCTGTGAACACGTGGTCAAAATAGAAGCCCCTGTCGGTCAGGTCATAGGTTATTTTAAGAGCCAGTAAGTTAGTTTTTACAACGTTCTCTTAAAGGCCCATTATGCCCTAGAAATGCTCTAAAAGTTTTTAAAAGGTTGCTTATTGAACATTACATGAACCATCTTCTTGTTTTGTCGTTTTTTTTGTTGTTTTTTTTTTGTTGTTGTTGTTGTTTTTTGTTGGTTTTTTTTTTTGGCAATATGTACAATTTTAGTGATTAAGTAATTTGTATGTAGGTTTTTTTTTATAACTCCTACGTAGGAGTTTATAAGTTCTACGTAGGACTTTATAACTCCTACAAAGGAGATAAAAAGCCTAATTAGGAGTTTTAACTCCTACGTAGGACTTAATAAATCATACGTAGGACTTTGTTACTCCTACGTAGGACTTTATAACTCCTACGTAGGAGATAAAAAAAAACCTAATTAGGAGTTTATAACTCCTACGTAGGACTTTATAACTCCTACGTAGGAGATAAAAATCCTAATTAGGAGTTTGTATCTCCTACGTAGGACTTTATGACTTAATAGGAAAAGCATACAGAACACTTTGCAAAATCTCAACATTCCGGACCGGTAAATCGGCGATGGAACAAGACACATACCCGCCTCCCAACCCACCCCCGGCCAAAATTTAAAATCTTAAATATAGAGGACATTTCACCTTTGGTTTATACACAGAGTGACAAAATCATCTCTGGCTACAGACTAAGGGTATTGCCACAATTACAACATGACACATATAATTTATTTTCCTACATAATATGCTATCTTAAGTTATACTCTAGCATACATGTCCGTCGAACTCTGTGCTTTCAGTACTTTGAATGTATCCTCCGTAGGAGTTATAAAGTCCTACGTAGGAGTTTAAAAGTCCTTCGTAGGAGTTATAAAGTCCTACGTAGGGGCTATAGAGTCCTTATTAGGCTTTTTTTATCTCCTACTCTAGCATACATGTCCGTCAAACTCTGTGCTTTCAGTACTTTGATATGTATCCTACGTAGGAGTTATAAAGTCCTACGTACGAGTTATAATGTCCTACATAGGAGTTTAAAAGTCCTACGTATACGTAGGACTTATTAACTCCTAATTAGGATTTTTTATCTCCTACGTAGGAGTTATAAAGTCCTACGTAGGACTTACATAGTCCTACGAAGGACTTATAAAATTCTACGTAGGAGTTATAAACTCCTAATTAGGCTTTTTAATCTCCTACGTAGGATTTTTTTATAGAACATAATGAATTGGTACCAGGACGCTTCCGTAAAAAAAGATGTTACTTTCAAATACATTTTCAAAATTTTCATGAAAATTAGCTTGCATTTTGAGGCATTCTGCATAAATGTTTTTTCGTGAATTTATTGTCAAAATGTACACCGTGGTACATAGCGTGTCTTTAATTAGTACATTATAATTGTTGCTAATAACTTTATTTAAAATTTTCACAGAAAAGGCTGCGGTAGCATTACATTCACGATTTCAGATGCTGGAGATCAGGTGGTGTTCATTATTAAATTTCCGGCATGCGCGACATCATCGTATCAACAAGCACAAGAATATCAGGTTATCTCATTTCACTATTTTTATCAGAATAAAAATTATGGATTTAAAAAAAAAAAGAATGCTTCTAAAATGTTTGTGTGAAATAAAACTGGCAATAAGTTGCCTGAAAGCGAGTGGCGCATGCACAAAACATTGCTAAACGGATAAAACCCTACTTAAAATAGCAAAATAATATATAGTTCTGGAACATTTTATTCTGTTTACGTACATTATTCATATGTATTAAATAACAAAGACATTCTAAGTTACAACTTTTTGAGTAATTTAATAATGGAACGGATATAATTTTACTGTTGATAAATTTTATAAAAATTATTTCATAAAATTTAGATTTATTCACTTTAAGTCCAAGATTTACATAAAATATGATTATCTCATTTGATTGGAATAAACATTATATAAAGCTGCATGCCTCCAACCACAATATTTGAAGAAAATCAAACTTGAGTAAATTTTGTGCCATTTGCGCCAAAAAACCTCCTTTGCGTTATTTAGTCATACCGCTTCAAAAGTTAAAGGAGCAGCAAAACTTCGGTACACTGTTCACTCGGTCATAATTATGATAGTGCATGGTAGCTATAATGTTACTGTTACTATTTATCGGAACATGAAATAGTAAAACGCTACTCATAAAACAATACGGTAATGAATTTATACATTTTAAAAATAAAAACGGAATGAAACATCCATGTAGCGCTAAGTAACTTAAAAGATATTTTCCGATTTTTCTATGTACCGATTTGTTCACTTCGATGTTAATTTTACGTTTAAGTTAAGTCGTATATTGAAGCGGAGCATGCGCATAACAATTTTTGTAGACTGCTTTTAATGATTTTACTCTTTAAACGAGATTAATTCACTACAATTAAAACAAGTAAAAATGGATGCCGCCAGCAATCAGTCTGAACACTGTGGAGAGGTCATCAGACCTCTCCAATGAGAATGACGTTGCGTTTTTGTGTACACAAAAAATTATAATCTTTGTCTGAAGAGGTAAAGTAGGGTATTAAGAAGTCAATATGATACAAAATCAGAAATAGAATTTTAAAAGACTCGATAGCAAAGATGGTTAAGTCAGCATGATGCCATAAAAGTTAAATTTTATCATGAGTTTGAGCCTCACAAGTTGTTTAACCTTTTTTTCTTTTTTATCCCAATTTTTATTTTTTTGTTTTTTTACATAAGATGCAAATTAATTGGAATATAAAGGCAGTTTTGTTTTAATATTGAATAATTTAGATTTACCGGAAATAATGATGTTTATCCTGTGTGGTGTATAATATATATTATTAGTACTTTTGCATTGTACAAGTTTTTGGTGCTAACTTAACTATAGTTGAAACAATTTATGTACATGTATGCATTCCGTATCAGGTTGCACAAACTTACTAAACATAGCAACATTTAAAGAAAAAGTGAAATGAGAAGTTAATAGAAAATAACACAGCACTAATAATCTTTACAAGAAAAACAAAAGATATTCTTACTCGATTGATAATAATATTGAAATTTTTGGGACCGAACCTGGCTGGCAGTCTTGCATTGATATGTCACTAAAAATTTACCAGAGAACTTTACCTACTGCGTTACGTCGACAGTAGGTAAATTTGTCGATATTTTTATTTATATGGCAAGCCTGCTTGACTTATGATATTAAACACAATATGATACCGTTGTAGTGGACACCGTGTCACTAAATAATTATCATAAACGCACAGTACATATAAATATTCATCATTTTGGGTCATCCTTGCCAAACATCAACCCAGTATGTCTTTTTTTCTTGAGAATGTTACATGCATCCAAACTAGCCCGCTTTTGTAGGAAGAGTTTAATTTTCGAGGCTGCCGATTACTGCAGGAACACAAGTATTCTGAAAGAAAATCAAAATCACTCCCGGGTAAGACAGGCAAAAGTGATATCAATTATAAGAAGATATATTCAGTGGAATTCAAGCTATTATAAGGTTAAGAAACATTTATACACTTGTTACTATTTAAAGCAACAAAATTGTCTGCCATTCTAACTGATTATGAGTGTCACATGATCGATTATGCGTTTGCGTCGCGGGCCGAGTACTCGTATCATGATCATCCCGCTGAACACAAGTACGTGCACAAACTTAAGCAAGTGCGTCACATTTACGTCCTGTGAAAAAGTGAACGTAGGTTTAAAGCACGAATAGCTTGATTTTATGAGAACTTAAGCCTTTCTTGTACCTTCCGGCCCTACTCTGCCTGGTATTTATCTCTTAATAAAAAAGTATTTAACAGGATTTAGCAACTTTTATTTGGGAGTATATCAGTTCTTACTAGCGGGATATGATACAGCGTCTCCTTATTATGAGTTACTTCAACTAACTTGGTCTTTTTAAAATATAGTATTACGAAAAATAACCCCAAATAAGAAGTTATAATAACTTTAGTCGGCCTTTGTTACTCCTAATTACAAAGGTAACAACTAATGTTAAAGCGATTTAAAAAGCCCTATTAGAAGAAATAATGGTTGAATTAAAATGTTTAAGTAAACATCTTAATTCGACCGTATTTTCTTCTTAATTCGCTTTGATGGTAACATTTTAAAGCTTTTAATTAGAACTTTGTATAACAACGTTCAAATAAGGATTTTATTTCTCCTAAACAAAAATTAGGACTAACAAAGTTCTTCCTTAAACCTTAATGAAAGTAACAAAGTCCTTAAACATATATTAAAGTAACTAAGTCATAATTAGACTTTTAAGATTCTTATTTATTTAGAGTAAGTATTTTTAATATTAAGATGTGGCATCATTACGCTTCCGTATCAAAACAGATTTTAAATTTTCGACCGTGCGACCACATACACGCATCGAGGACATATTGAACGGAAAGTGACCGTGTGATCACAGGATTCCCCTTCTTATTCGAGAAAAGGGCAAAATGCAGTCCGCCCCTTTTATAAAAGGACAATATTATAAAATGTGCAATTTCCTTATTGCTATCAATTAGGAGGCTTATATTTAAGACTCTGTCTTGAATTGGTTTAAATACAACTATGGTTAAGCAAATCAAACATTTTTCGTCTTTTTAAGTTTCCTATGAAAAGTTAAAAAGATCATTAAAATTTGGAAAATCTTGAGTTAACTGTTTTGTCTACGTTTCATTTTATGTATATAATATAATTATATGTATTTTAATTCTTAAAAACATAAAAGTTTTCAAAAACGTTTCATATGCATTAAATGTAGGAGATGTATATCACACTTAGTCTTGGGGCATTTTTGTCAAATTGCGTATTTATTTTCTGACTTTGCTAACAGTACCTGACTTATCCCACTTGTAAAGGAAGAGGTAAAACTATAGATATACGATATACATATGAGCAGTCAATTCAAGTTATTTAATCGATTCCCACATATTGTAAATCGCAATAAATTCATGGACTTCGTTTGGATTTAAATTTCATTATTGTGTGTCATTAAAAAGATTAATCGCATTGAAAACTATTCCGTAATTAATAAGAGACGAGTTCATGAAAAGTATAATATAAAGGCGTTCCTAATTTGCACTTGAAAAAGCAATATTTCAAAGCGCAGATAAATCGAAAAACGGACCCGATAACAACCACTTTTCGTTTACAAATGTTTCTGCACTAAGCTCACCAAATTTTTAAACAAATTCTTTTTTTACAGATTTTAATTTACTTATATGTTTATTATCCGAGCACGATAAACAGAATTTTCTTCACATTTATTTATAGTACCGAATAGTCTATATTAATACAATATAGGTAAATGAAATGTTGCACATCTCAATGATTGTACGTTTGACTGATAATTGTAAAAGTAAATAAAAAATGTCGCAATATCTCTATCGGTAGAGCACTATGTTCAGAAGGATCCTACTCCTCGACAGGAGGGTAACAGGTTTTCACCACGGCCAAGCTAATTAGCTCCGCTAATTTGCTGCGCGCCCCGACATTTTAACTTGATACTTGGCGGAGTCACGGGGCGAAAACACAAAATGGCACAAATCAGCCACCATAGTTATATATTCAAGTCACAAACAGTATGATGATTGAATTATTAGCGCAATGCTCCTCACCAACTATCTTACTATTGAGACATTGGTAGATTTTAAAATGCGTCACGTGACATTTTAAGGATTTATTATTTTATATAATTGATATATCAGGTATTAGCACGTGATGGCATAACTCAGTTGGCAAGATTTACCAAACACTGGGGCAAGATAGAGGATTCCATCCGCTTGAAAAAATTCTCATTAACTTGTAAGTAGGATCATCTATTATATTATAATGCTGTTTATGTGTTTCTCTCCCCTGATTATTTGCGGTTGGGCAAATGCATAAAAAGAGGTACATCTCAATTAAGCTTATACATTATTATTATAACTCGATTGTTGACTTACTGATATCAATGTACCTTCACCAGTCCCCTTTCTGGTACAGACCAATACTGGTGTCATATGGGGAAACACGGTCGTGACCCAAATAGGGTTCGAACCAACGGTACCGGTATTGCTCTGCAGAGGTTTATATTGTACTTTCTAACAGGTGCAACTTCTTCTTAAATAAGTCTTTAAACATGAATGTATCAAATAGACTTTTTCTGCGTTTGTGAAAGCTTTTAAGATATCAAAATGCCATTGATTCTAATCACCTTGCACGAGTATATAGGAACTAACAATTCAGACGAATATTTCTGAAATTATCTTCTCTGAAGTGCAAATTTGCTGGCCTTTATACTTGTAAACATAAACTTAACTAACGAGGAATGCAAACATTAGATATTGAATTATTCCAGTTGCACCTATGTTATCATGAATAAGGTATTGTCATTTAATTCAACTATCACAAACTTACATGAATATTTATTACTAAGTCTTATGTTCCTTCTTATACATATTCCGTCTGATACATTTTCCGCACTATATTTGTTCCATCGTATACATGTCCCTTTGTTTTCCGTCTTATATATGTTCTATTTTAAAGATGTTCCGTCTTACGCATATTCCGTCTTTGACATATTCCGTCTTTTCCATGTTCTGTCCTATACATGTTTTCTCTTAAAGATGGTCTGCCCTGAACATGTTCAGTCTTATACATATTCAGTCTTAAACATATTTCGTCTTTTTCATGTTCTGTCTTATACATTATCTGTCTTTAACATGGTCTATCCTAAACATGTTCTGTGTTATACATGTGATGTCTTATAATGTATCAGCTATTTAAGAAAATCTTTTTCTGTTTTAAGTTCCTATGGATTTAGATGAGAGAATGAAGGCTGTGTTGCTTGGAACAATTTTCGCAATTGTAAGTTTAATAATTAGTAGGGAGCATATATTTATTTAAATCAATTTTGATCAACTAATGACTTTAATAAAAAAGATAAAACCAAAACTGAATTTATTGTGGAATATTTATTGCATTTTTGGCATTGATTTTTGTTTTTGTTTTTGTTTATCATATTTTGTAAAATGAACATAATGTTTCATGAAATATTAAGAGACAGTTTTCTATTAATTGATTTATTAATATCATTATCATTATTATTATTTATTGTTATTATTATTATTTTCTATTATTATTATTATTTTTATTATTATTATTATTATTATTATTATTATTTACAAATTTCGAACCCACCTTCCAGTGATACAGATAAATCAAAACTGAATGAAACTAAAAATCAAACTTTGTTAAATATTTGAACGGTATATTTTACTAAATTTATTTATCTAGACTATCTAGAGATTGTGTTGAAGATAAAGGATTTATTTGTGTTCAATGTTTAGATATAAAACTTTACAATTGAATGTGAAGCTAACATTTGTGTTATACTTTGCTACCTACGTATAAACACAGTATCGCACTATATAACACTATATAATTTATGCCATTCTGATGAAGCTGAAGTTCTGGAGCTGTTAAAGGTTATTCACTTTCTTTATTACGGTTATAACAAATAATGATAACACATTTTGTGTGAGCACTACATCTAATTAGTAATCTCTTTGTTTCATTTCGTACAGACTTGCAGTTTTTGGACAGAGGTTGCTTATGGGGTGAAATAGTTTCCTTATTTGGTTTTACAGACCAAAAATGATCAAAGAAATATCAATGTTCATTCCGTACACACTTGTACTTGTGGATAATAAAGAGAACGTCCGTCCGTCCGTCCGTCCGTCCGTCAGTCCTGCTTACTCGATATCCGTCTTTAACAACTTAGGAAAAAGGGGAACATTCGTGTTCTATGTCGGCAAAGATTTTCGATTGTAAATTTAAATCCTAATGTATAATACATTTCTATTCGTTTCAGATTTATTTTTGTATAGACGAAAAATGTAAAGATATAACATTTTAGTTTTACAAGCAAATTTTCATCGTGTGAGCTAACAGACCATGAATCAATTTCAAAAAAGCAGTAGATTAACTTGTATACAAAATTGGTGTTGTTAAATTGCAGGATGTTATGTATTATCCACCAGTTGAAAGTGAAAGTGATCCCAGTATGTGAAAATGACAGTTATAAGTTTGGCGGAGAAAAGAAAACTTAAAAAAAGACACATAATTAATGGATTTGGAGTTTTCAGCTGATTTTTAGCTCGTGCAATCAGAAATGACAATTTCAAAAAATCAATTTTCTTATTTATTTGTTTTATGATATTGATTGTAAAATGTAATTTAATGCATTATGTAGCTACGAGTATGGTAAACATGTAGTTACTATTGTTAATGTATCTACGACTTGTTATATAAATCTTCTATTGACAATGTATAAATCTCTTGTTTTCATTTACACGCTTCTACCTTTCAGCGTTTATTTATTAAAGATTATAGTTTTATTTTATGATATTTGATTATATGAATAAACATAGCAAATCGTTGTGTTCAGCAGCAGCGTGAGTGTGCCATGCTCATAGCCACAAAGTAACAAATATTTACGATATTTTATATTTAAAGTACTACCAACCTAAACGCTTTAGCTGTAATTTGATTATGTCGCCTTAATCGCTTTTCTTTTTAAACAAATTGCTATTAAAGGCTGTCCCAGTCACCAAATAAACTTTGTTTACAACATTTAAGTTCTACACAAAGAAATGCTTTAGCTGTGGTTTGATTATCTCCCCTTAATCCCTTTTATTTTTAAAACAACTTAATAAGACAAAGAACCTTCTTTTTTGTTTTTTCTCCATTATTTGTGTGAAATTCATCAACATATTAATATTATATTATATTATATTGATATGCGTGCGTGTCACATGATAAGAAAATGTGCAATCTGACCGGGACTTTACTGACTGAGATATCCGGCCGCTTACACATCTTCTCCTTTAAATAATGAACAGTTTTCAACGGTGATGTATGTTGCAATAGATTCAGTAATGTTTGAATTACCTGTAATGTTTCAATGTTTAACATTTGATATCTTTACCCCTTGATAATGCGTCGTCTATAGCAATATCCGAAAATTTTAGTTTAAATTTTGAATAAAAAAAAGATTAACGAAAAAGACAATACCATACAATACATAGCCTCAATCAAACCAAATGATTTTGCTTATCTCTTTTTGTGCGATATTGCATGTCCTGTCGTGATTTAACTGATTTACAAGAGTATTGATTTCACATAATCAATAAGAGTCTGGTGGAAGCACTTAAATATATTAAAAAACAAAAGTTGCTGGGAAAGCAGCAATTTTGGGGCTCATGCAAAAATTAAAAGGGGGCCCCAAAAACAGATACTTACCCAAATTTATTCCTGCCACATGTATTTAGACATTTTTGACATTTTTAATCTATTTGGGGGTTAAAGGGTTTTTTTCATGCGTGTACATTTTTTTTAAAACCAAAATTTTTTTGTATAAAGAAATTTTTAAAATTTGGGAAAATTTTTACTTTTGTATGCATTTTCCATTAAGAAGGGGCCATTTGGGATTTTAAAAATTAAAAATTTTAAAACTGCTTTTCACTGATGTTTTTACCTTTTGGTTAAAAAAAAAGAATTCCCCAATACAAAACAAAAAATTTAACAAAACATTTTTTAAAAATTTAAAAGGTATTTTTGAACAAATTTTTTTTGGGCCAAAAAGGTTTGTTGGGCAAAAATTGGGGTTCTTTGGTTTTTTTTCCCCAAAAAAGGTAAAAAATTTTTTTTTAAGATTTTTTTGGGAAAACATTTTTTTTTAAAAGGTTTAATTTTTACAAAATTTTTTTTTTCCTTAAAAATGGTTAACCCATTTTTTTAACAAATATAAAAACTTTTTCATTATATATTAAAATCCCCTATGTAAATAAGGCCCAAAATTTCATCCAAATTTTTCTTTCAAAAAAGTCCGTTTAAAGTTTTTGGGGGCAAAAGGTAACAAGAAAAGGGATTGATGCAAAGCATCAAAGAGGGGTCCCCAAACCAAAAAATGGCAGCAAGTGACATGAAAATAGTAGACTTGTAATGAACCCGGGGGCCGTTTTTATCACGGGTAAAACGACACCCCGATATTTTTTATAAAGTTTTTTCAGCTGTTTTTAATTTGATTTTACCAGAAATTGTACACATGTATATCAATCTTAGGTGAATGGGCGGATGAAAGAACATTGTTCAACATGAACTTTGGTAGACTTTGCCTAGAAGATATTTGGGACATAAAAACAGTTTGTCAAAATGAATAAAGTTTGTTTTTTGTGCCCACACATTAGTGGCAGGCCATTAAGATTTACCCTTGTCCCGTCCGTTCCGTCCGTTCCAATTCCGTCCCCGTCCGCCTGTCCGTTCTCTTTTAATGTCGTAACGTTAATTTCAAAGTATTTGACCTAGAGTCATGAAAACTTTTACAGGAATGTGTTGATCAGCCTGTAAAGTTGGTGCACCTGGGGTATTTTAGTGTGGATAATTTTTGTATTTTTAGAGTTATTGCCCTTTACTTAGAAAATGTTTGCAATTTTCAACTTGTGTCGCATGTAACACAAAAAGGATTTGACATAGAGTCATTAAACCTTATGGGAAGGTTGCTCAGCATATTTAGTTTTGCTCCTGGGGTTTCGCTTGTGGATTTATCCAGTATTTGTAGAGTTATTTCCCTTGACTTAGTAAAAACTGTTTCATTATGTTGTTATTTGTTCCTTGAGTGCTTGATTGCTTGAGTTAGAATCGACCAACTTTACAGGAATAATGATCAACATCACTAAATTACAGGAATACTGATTCACATCACTGTGAAGCTATGAACCTGGGACTTTGCATGTAGAATTTTTTTCAGTTTTTGTTAGAGTTATTGCCCTTGACTTACAGTAGTATAAATTTGCAATTTTCAACTTTGGGTTTGCTTGGGGAATTTATTTCAGTAAAAAATTTTTAAAGTTTTTTTGCCCTTGAAAACCCTTAAATAAAAAGGAATTTTTTAGGTTTTTTTAAAAAATTATTTGACCCTAGAGTTTTAAAAAGAAATTGGGGCAAGAAAAAGTGGCGGGGTTGGGGGGCCAACCCCGTGTTCCCTAAATTTGGGCAAATAATTTTAAGTTTTTTTTTTTTTATTTAAATTTTTTATTTAAATTTTTTTATTAATTTAATTTTTTTAAATTAAATTTTTTATTATTAAAACCCTTTTTAAAATTGGTTGGGTTTTTTGTTGTTGTTTTTTGTTGTTGTTTGGGGTTTTGTTTTTGGTTTTTTGTTTTTTTTGTTTGTTTGGGGTTTTTAAATATGCCCTTAAAATTAAAATTTTTTATTATTTTTATTATGTTGGGTTTTTTTTGTATTTAAATTTTTTCAAACAGAATTTTAAAAGGTTTTTTAAAAAAGGACTTTTTATGCAATAATTAAAATTTTTTTCCCTTTTTTTGGGTATTTTAAAAAAATGGGTTTTTTTGATAGTTAAGATAAGTTTGGCTAAAATTTTAAAGGGCCCCCGACTAAATATGACATTAAAACAACACTGAAATAAAAAATTTTAAGGATGGAAATTTTTAAAATGATCAAATTCAGGGTTTTTTTGTTTGTTGTTTTGCTTTTTTTAAAAAATTCATTTTGCCAATTAAATTTAAAATTTTATTAATTTGCCAAAAATTGGCATGTTTTATACGGTGGGAAAAAATTTTTTACCCAAAACCAAAAGGGGAAAAATTGTTAAAAACCTTTAAAATTTTAAAAAATTTTGAAAGGGGAAACCACTTACATCATGTTCATGCGAGTCAAAGATATAAAAGCTACTTGACATTGGTGATAAATAAAGAGCTTTTTTTAATTGATTTATTGGGAAATCAATCTACAATTTTGTTGAATTGCTTCAAAAGCCTCGTCGGACCCACCAGTGTTTACATTCTTATCAATAAACCCAAACCACCTTATGTTACAAAATGTTAAAGTTTCCGTTGTTAGATATCACAGTTTTCGGCAAATCAACATTCCACTTAAAACAACCATAAAATCGATTGTCTAAAAACAAAATAGAATAAGCTTTTTAAAACAAAAATCGGGAAATAAAGTTCGATTTAAATATTCACGGTAAAAACTGTCAGAAGTACAATCAGGGCCGTAAGAAAAGAAAGAAGCAATTAATTTACCAGGAAACGGAAAAGACAATTTCAGAATGATACTACTATGATATAACTATTCGTAAAAAATGGCCTGCATTTATACTTAGATAAAATATAAAGAGTTCAATTTATTGTTAAATGTGTTTGCATTTCATTTTCTCCAAAAGCCTCAGGTTAGTTATTTATTGCCATAGCGGCAATCGGAACGTCCCCGGCTATTATCTATATTAACCTCGGAAACAACAAGGAGTGACAGTAGTTCTACCACGTGGTTTCAGATGTAAACCTAATGTAAAAGTACATATAATTGACATCCAAAAGAAAATTAAGTCTGTTTCGGAACAGACATGATTGAAAATATGTCTGACAAAAATTTTTAATTTAAAATGCCCACTGATGTACAATTTTAAACAAATGCGACTAAATGTCAACAGGTCGGCATTTTTGTACTTTCGGTTTCTACAACCATTATAATAAATATATAAACAATGTATCGTTTGCTTTTGTATCTATGAATACACTTATTCTAGGTTGGCATTTACTTAATATTTTGGAAATAAACCGATATACCTATAATATTTGTCCGAAGACTTACGGAAAGGGTCGAAAAGTTGAGATCGCCATAGCGGGACACGAATGACCGTTTCGTTTAAACAACCATTTCACCAATCGGAATGTCCGAAAAGTTGCGATTGCCCTTCATTCATTTTATAAAGGACGTCGCGCTTCGGCGCGAACGCCAATAAAAATGTTGAAATAAATGCCCATGGTTGTATTGCTCTATTTAAAATCAATGTGTTAATCAATACACTATATACTTAGATAAAAATACCTAGGTTTAAAGGTTTAAAATTACTTTGATTATTTACCATATATCGGATCTTTTATAAATTCCGTTGCATACACATGTACGTAGAATATTAAAGTATAAAATGTATCATTATCAACAGGAATGCTATGATCAATAAAAATATAACGTGAATACAGTAGTATTCTATTGCTTAACGTTAGAAGAGCTAACAATATAAATCAACAGAATCTGGTTTCATGTTAGCTTTAGTATTAACACATAAAGTGTTCAAAATGATTTAGCAATTATCAAGTGAACAAACAATGTATTACTAATACAAATACATGTAATGTGTCAAAATAATAATAAGAAATAATGTAATTTTGTAAAAAGCAGCAGAGACATGTAGTGTGAAATAGTAGTCAGACATGTTTTCATATCACATGTAAAAACGTCAAAATAACTTATGTATTGATATATTTCTTATAATGTATTCATATATTGTCTGAGATTTAATGTTTTGGAAAATTTGTAAAATAATCTTCAAAAAAAAATGAACGGATTAATAATATTATGATATAATGTATTTTATGTCCAATTTAAATACCCGTTTATAATCACTATCAGAAAATATAAGGTAAATAACTACGTCGGTCATAAATCTAACCGATTTGTTATCCCCTTTGAATATGTTCCAATATTTAAACCTTCTGTTTATTTATAGATATACATAGCAACAAGTAGCATTTATTGTGACTGAAATAGCAATTATTAACTGTCGAATTAGTTTACGTTGTTAAACTTGACGATAAATATTATAACATTTCAAAATTTGAAAGGATTTTCAATTGTTTCAATGTTATAAAAAGACTGATTTTCATAGATTGAAAATGGAAGTATCGGGTCGTAAGGAATGGGACGATAAACATTCAATGTCTAAACAAGGGAGACAACGTATAGTTCTTTGCCAACCTTGTGAGTGTGATGGTAATACAATAGAAGCGGACGCATTCTGTGAAACTTGTAACGAGTTCCTCTGTACTCCATGTTTGAAGGCTCATCGGAAATTAGCTATAAGTAAAAATCACGTGATCAAGTCAAAGAATGAAATGCCAATATCAAGGGAAAAGCAAAAAGATCCATGTACAGAGTTGTGTTCAGTCCATCCTACCGAAATAATCAAGTTTTATTGTGAAGACCATAATTCTGTAGGATGCGGAGATTGTATTGTCCTCAGCCACAAAACGTGTTCTGTTAAACTCGTCAATAATGTCTCTGATAACTATGATGCCTGCGAGGAATTCGGGCAGACCAAGAAAAAGTTAGAAAGTCTTCTGCGTAGAATTTCATCTTACCAGGGTATTATTGTAGATACCATTAAAGCTGCTGATGAAATGAGAGAAAAGATTATGAAAGATATTCATATTTTCCGACAAGAGATTAACGAATATTTGGATAATGCTGAGGCAGATCTGCTGAAACGAATTGATCAGCTGACATCGAAACAAGTGTCTCAACTTGGGCATATCCAAAAGGAATTTGAGTCAATGGCCACTGAAATGAAAGAATGCCAAGACAAAATAAATAAAAATACAAACACGATTAATCAATTGTTTGTAATAGCAAAACTTGCACATGAAAAGATTGATGCCTGTCAGATTTCAACAGAGGAGCTAGCGTCTAAATGTGAGATTGAAACATTTGATTTGGTGAAGTCTCAGGAGTTAGGAAAACTTGTAACAGACAAATTATCCATTGGTGTTATCAATGAAGAAAAGCGAATGTTACACACACTCAACAAAATAAGTCTGACAGATGTTCAAACGACGCTGTTAGAAAAGTTGAATGTCCTCAGTGCAGTACGCGACAGAACAGCAAGCTTAATATCAGGAATGGCAATAATTTCCTATGATGAAATCTTGCTTGTTGATTGTTCAAATGATTGTTTAAAACTTATAACCGTAGAAAAGTTTATGATAACTTTTACATTAAATACAAATGGTAAACCATGGGATATCACTGCAATCAGTTCAGGATTATTCGCAGTTACTGTATTCACAACAGGTGAAATACTATTCATAAATACATCAAATGGAATTTCTAAAAGTCACAGTATTAAGGTAAGAAAGGACTGTAGAGGAATAGACTACCGTAACGGAGTTCTTGTTGTATCGTTCGGCAATCCAGGATGCGTTCAGCTACTTGACATTAAAGGAAACATTATGAAAGAGCTTGATATCGATAAACATTGTTCATATCCTCATTATATAGCGTTTTGTTACGACGACAACAAAAGCTTCATTGTGTCCAGTTCCTGTAACAATGCTCTTTTTGAGTTTGGTCCAGATTGGAAATTAAAGGATAAAATAAAAAGCAATGATATAAAGTACCCAGAACAACTTGTTGTAACACATGATGGAGCGGTTATTGTTTGTTGTGGAGATATCAGTGATAGACTTATCATGATTACACCACATACAAGAGAGGTGCTTTCGATTACTGTGGAAGGTATCAAACGTCCAATGTGCATGGCGATATCTGAAGATCAGACGAGGATGTTTATTTCTGACGCGTCAGATCGTAATATTAAAGTGTTTGGTATCAAATGACTTAAATCCTAGGCATAACTTAGATATGGGTTGATAACAATTTCGAGGACACTAAGTCTATTAATTTATATGAAACCTTACAATTCAAAGAATTACATGACATTTTCTGTTATTAGACGCCGCTTGCAATGGGGAAAATTTTAGACTTGATTTTACATAAGTATTTTTTTTGTTTTAACAAAATCACACTGTTCTAAGATTTTCTAATAAAAATAGCTTTTCTAATGCACAACATGTCACAGAGCTTTAAGGGATTTGAATAAACGACTAACTGAAATTCTAATGCCATGTTTGAATATCATACTCTTTTTATCATTATCTAATTTTATCTACATAATAAATAACGTGCCAATGAGCCAGTCTATTGTCGATCGTTCTTAAACTTAACCGTTGAAAGAGATTACGACTGAGGCAGTGTCACTTACTTTATTTGCCCCGCCTCTGTTGAAGCCTTAAATTGTCGCAAAAATTCCTGTCACAGTATAAAACGAGCACTACTAGTACGAAAATAGTGGGATTTTAGTGCAGAGATGACCATTTCTTCGCAGCCATTTTACGTGTGCGTAAAACTTCGCACTTTTCTGTGTTTACAAGTACAAATGTTCATGTATCATGTTTCAAAAATGTGTATCTCAACTTTGAAATACATGTACTTCCTTTGTACAATCTAGGTCAATGTTTGCGGAAGATAATGTATGAACAAACAGTCCATGAAAACTTATGAAAGAATTCAAGTCAAATAAGTTTATTGTTTTGCCTGCAGTCGGGATTTTCACAACACTGCTATTTTTGTTTAAATGGAAAATAAGGGTTAAAATATAAATATGATAGACTTTTACAGAACTTTGGACCAATTCAAACCCCGCAAACATTCCAGTTAAAGTAATCAGAAAATGAGTGTTTAGGGTGGCGAGAAAAGACCAGAACTTGAACTGAGTAATGCCAGTTGGAGTTGTCCTACGATGTACGCAAAGAGGCGACGAGGATGGTGTGCTACGGTGTGTGAACCCCTAACACGGTTATACGGCTTTAAAGGCTGGCCCTTTACGAGGCACCAACAGCCCTTTTAAGGGCTACCTCCTTTTCTATTGTCTCATGACACTGTGCAGTTAGGTTCTCATTGACTGCCGTACAGTTACCTATTTTTAGTTCAAAATTCATATTTTTTGGCTAATACTCTGTGATAATAATCTATGGGGGTAAATTATCACCACTTAGTCTTTCCAATTAACTATTTAAGGGCATAACTTGTGACATGTTCGGGGTCCGTACTCGACAGCGAAAGCTGCTTTTTGTGCCCTTGCGGGTGGATGGACCCTATTTAAACATAGATTACATACATACACATTTTGTACATTTACTAGTCAAAATATATTGACGTGCCGAAGCCAGATTCTGAGATATTTTCGTTCTGTATCAGAATCTTGCTATTGCCCAGACACAAAATAGCACAATATCTCGTCGCGCAGTATAAATAATTGGACTCAACTGTAAAACCTGCTGGCCTTAGCGTAAAAAAACTGGTACTAATCATGCAGGTAAATATATTAACCATAATAAATGTATCTTTTTTATTTAAAACGATATATGACTTAATAAATAAAGACACAACACTTCATTGATTAAAGTCAAATGCTATACCTGTATGCCGTTTTTGTATACTGAAAATTTATCATAATGGACACGTCTATTTTATATTTCGCTTATGTATTTGTATTAATTAACTATTTATTTATAGTACTATAGTTCGCTTTCCGATTTCAGAAAACATGCTGAGTCAGAAAAACTTATCCGTTATCTAGAATATGTATACATGTACTCTGGTGAAAAGTTTATCAGGATTTGAAACAAATAACAAAATTTTTTTCCTGTAACCCCGACGAGATAAAAGATCTGTTTGTAGCTTAAGATAAATATACACATAATTTAGCATCACCTTTATTTTATATATATTATTATACAACTATTGTATGATAAAGATGTTATTCGGGTGTATAGACCTGGCTAATGTGATATGGATATCGCATTAGCAAAGGCAATATACTTGAATATTCACCAAAGTCTTTGTGCATTAAATGTTATATTGTACATATATGACCAAATTAAAATCCTTCATTTTGTACATTTTCAAAGTTGTCTAGTTTCATTTTAACGCAATCAAGTCCTAAGTTAGCGGACTGAAAGCTCAAACGTTGTTTGTATATATTTTCGGCATTCCATTCTATTTTAAGGTTATAGTTCTTATAAGAATTATATTCAAATGCAAGTGGGCATCAAAGAGAAATTTTCGAATTTTTGTTTCACTAATCAGGTGAAACTGTTAAATGATTATTATGTCAGTTTCCAAATATTGAGAATTACGCTCCACCTACTGGAATGATCAGTTCTCGTCTGGTAACATATTAGAACAACATAAATGTTGGGCAATTTCTTTATGTAAACAAGCAAATTCAGGAATTTTTTTTTAATTTTCTTAGCCCTGCTATTTATCAAGAAAACAGTCCAAGACTCAATTTTTGTCTGCAAAAATGCTTGCAAACCGATAATACAGACTAAAATTTATTATATTTCTAACTTATACGTTTCGGGGAGGGGCGGCATACAGTATATCTATGTATTAAAAAGGCCTATGCGCGTAAATAGTCAGCTGAAGACCAACCTGACATTGCATTATATATTACGAAGAGCGGCTGTCGTATACAACAAAAAGCGCTGGCCTACAATTTGTAGGGCTTCAAAAAAAGAAAACCTTTTGAAAGTGTACATTGTCGCAATTTAGGAACTGTTGCGGGTTCACCATCAGTAACTGCGTCCATGAAATAATATTTTCTCCCTCTAAGAGTAAATCCTGAGAGAATTTGTCATCATCAAAATTTAATACGTCTGTCATATCCTAACTTGTTGTGATCCACAACTTATACATGTAAGGCTACTCTACATGTTCTGTAAAATGTAATCGTCATTTTGGGCATTACCATGTTTTGGCCACTAGTCTCACGTTTACATCATCGGCCTAAATTTTAATGACTGCCAAATATCTATTGCGGGCATGACATAAGTTTCATGAAACGAATCGACGGAGTGAACTATAAAGCTGGTAAATGTTTCTATGAAAACGCAGCAAAACGTTTTAATATTTGACAGGAAACAAACGTTGTCTGAATCTGTAAATAACTATGATGTTTGTTTGAAGTAACGTTGTTTTGATTGGCCGGCTATTGGTTTCCAATAATGGACTGTTAAATTTGGCGCCACTTGTTTTAACGTTATACAGTACAGGTAGTTTGTTTTGATCAATTTACCTCAGGTAAATATCACTTTCTATTGCCCGTCAAAAGCAACAAGAAGTCGGTAGTCACGTAATAATGTTATTTATATAGGTATGCATACAACTTCGCAACACTACTAGTATAAGACATACAAAACATTAACATATCAATTGCTTTTTTTTTCTTTATTTCATTTCAACTATCAATATTGATTCAAAGCCTAAGCAAAAGAAAGGAAGTTCACGATGGAAATTTATAAGCGTAATTTTTATCATAAACAAATATACAAAATCATACAACCGTTTATTATTTACTTTCACATTGTAACATCATTTGGAGTATGCTATATCTTAGTCATATGCAAGTTTCATCATGTAAAGGTTGACTTAAACTTAATAAAGTACTTGTCTTTTTCAACACACTCTTGCACAAACAACGATTTTCATTAATCCTTAACATAGAATTTAAAAAAACCCCAAAAGTTTAAAAGCCCAAAAGCTAACCCTTTTTGAAATGTTACTTTCGCCAAAAAAAGCTCTTTTACTTGATAGGGAATATTTAAAAACAATCATGTTTTTTTTAGTTTTAAAGTGAAAATTTTTGTTTCAAAAATAATATACGTGCACTTACAAATTCCCGTTTCAAAAAATGTTTATGTACAAAAATTTTAAAAAATCCAAAAAAAACGTCAGCTTTTTAAAATTTTATTGTCGAAGATGTTATTTAAATTAAAATATATTTTTCAAAATTTTGAAAAATTTAAAAATAAAAGGGTTCCCAAAACCATACCCCTTTATTTTAAAAGTTTGGAACATTTTATGTTTTTTTTATGGGCCCCATTTCCCTTTTTGTAAAAAATTTTAATATTCCTTTTTAAAAAATGATTGAATGTTATTTTATTGATTTATATTGATATCTTCTTTATTTCAACCATGGATCAATATTACTTTGTCTTAAGCTGAAAGTTGATGGCTTATCCAACATGTTTTAGTCCAGCTGAAAACATAAAAAATCTGCAGATTCCCGTAATCCGACATACAGTTTTAAATTCGGGTGATCGAATAATATTGCAAACGGAAATTGTTGCAAACCCGTCACAACTGGTTCAAAAGAAGTGAAGTCTTTCGAAAGTAACTTTATTGATTTTGAAGAAGTTTCCGCAATCAAAGCATGTCCATCCGCGTCAAAGCAAACTGATGCATAGTTAGTCCCTGATGCCATTGTAGTATTAAGCTTTTTGATGTTGAAACTATCTTCTTTTAAGTAATTAAGATGAATCAAATTGTTGACATCTGTTATAAGTGCAGTAGTCATGCCAGGAAGGAATGGTATTTTACAAGGAAAGCCAACAATTGCTTTTCCAAATGAGTCATTCGTTACTGTTTACAAAATATTTCCCTCAGTATCAAACATTCTAATGTGACCCGGCCCTTCTTTCTCATCCTGTCCTCCACATGCCACAAATAACTTTTTATTACTGTATGCTATTCCACGACAGCATTCTCCTGTTTCAAAAGACGATCTTTCCTTTAAGCGGTCCGGCATATTTCTATGGAACTCTATAATACTGACTTTCCGACAGTGTGTGATTGTTACAGCAAACGCTCCATCTTCTAGTTTACAGATGCCAAATGGGTTTGACGATATTTGGCGTGTGCTAAACACTACTGCCTTGTTTGTTTCAATAACTTTGACGCAGTAATTGATCCAGTCTGTTATCAGAATCTTGTTATCCCCTGCCTCACAAATGTCAAACACAGTTGCTACCTTCTCTTGCCTTTGTATGATATTTATGCGTCTAGACTCCGAACTTGTGTAAGTTCTTTTATCACTGTCAAAAAATCCGAATCTTTGAAAAGCGGCCAAATTCTTATCGTACTGTTTATCTCTCTCATTTCCGATTTTATGTGATACAGGTTTAGACGGCGCAGCTATAATTGCTTTCTGAACTGCTTGTATTTGCTGTTCTGCCTTTTTCATTTGAATAAATTTGTATTCAAGACAGATGTTTTTTCTTTTTTGAAGCAACGTTAAAGTTGTGTTTAAGCCCTTTATTATCCTTGAATAATTTTCTATATCGGCCAAAACTT